CGCACAATAGATTATGCACGCCTTCATTTCCACTTCCTTCCGGGCTCAGTTCCGAATTTGCTAATTGGGAAAGTGTCAGAAGGTGGCGAGCCTTTTCCATTGGTCACCTCTCTTTGGTTGTCTCATCCCTCTCTGGGACTTGGCTAGAAGGGTCCGCTTGGGCGTGGTCAATTTTCCAATACGATCGACCAGATGTGGCATAGCCAAAAATAATGCAAGCATTGTCTTAAAAGCCGAGTGCGCACGTATGGTCATTGCATGTGTAGTACGTACGGGTTTTGGGTTGCAGTAAATATTTGTACTCAATGCTTTACGCATATCTGATATTTGTTCTGAATCTACTTTGGGGTTCTCCCGGCAGTGAACCCATTAGGTTCTACTGCACTGGGAGTATGAGCACGTTTCGCTAGAGTTTTCCAGGTGTTTTATGACACTAGTGCAACATAATTATGAGCAGGAAAGTTTTGAAATCTTAAATACAATTTTCATGATGTTACTTGCCAGATGTTTTATTGCCTTACTAAATTGAGTCTCTCATTCTCAAACAGTTATATTATAAATATTTACATGAATATCTTTCGTAACTGTTAAGTTTTTACGTAGGCATAATTTGTATTAAAAATATAAAGTTAGATTATTTAAAAAATATAGCGTTAAATTACCCTATGTATTGAATTATGTAATATGTCTAGAAATAAATTTATATTAATAATTTACTTAGAAAAGATTAAGCAAAGTATTAAATTTGACATATATTGTAACTGTTTAACAGGTTATTTTAATTTACGTATGTACGTGTTCAAGATTGTAGCATTATTTAAGAATTTAATGTTGGGAAAAGTACAAGCTTTCGGAAGCTCATGTTTGTAAACATTGATTCTGCGAATTTTTAAATTGTCTACGGCTTATTTAATTTCTTATGTCTTACAATATTTCCGCATAGCAACGTTGACAAAAATTCTCGAACCTTCCAAGGCAGTGTCCTTGTGTACTTCTTGAATATTCTGGAACTCAGTTTTCTGACGTCATTAAGATTTTCGGTCTAGCAACAATCCCAAGCGCTGTTACCAGCGTCGTAAGCTCACAATATTTCTCAATCAATCAAGTATCAGTTATTACTCACACAACTACTAAACTCAGCCGCATACCTGGTAATCAGCCTACAATATACAAGCACACAATTTTGTCAGAATCTGCAATAAAAGGTTAGTAATTTAACAGTGAAGCTATAAGAATTATAACCACTTAAGTGCGCCAAGCCCAGCAGTCATTCAGTACGCAGTGTCGGTAGTTCGTAAGGTTCCACCATACAATTATTCGTCCAAGCTAGTCATCCACGCTCAAATTGCGCTTCATACAGAGTCTGCCAAGAAAGTGACGCAGTATGCTCTCTCAGTGCAATCATTGCAGAGAACGTTCGTTCACTTCTCCAGTCCGCATAAACTACAATTGTCAAGGGCAGACTGCCGTTCTAAAAATAGTCGGTTAAACCTCATAATGTTAAGTCATTCAGTACTCAAAGGTACATCATTATCGTTCTTGCGTATGACTAGCTCACAAATACTCCCACACTCCCCTTGGAGTATGGTCGATTTGATAACTATCACAGAAAAATGAAGATGCTCCCTTTTGAAGTATGGTTAATTCTCCCTGTTAAGCACTGCTAACTGCCATTACCATCTTTTCATGCTCATTCGATGCGCATGGTCGACTGCTCTTGCTGATCCTTACATTGTCAGCATAGAACCCAATAATCAACATCCATTGCTAATCCCTATAACATGAACGACATCACCACCATTACGAAAAAGCAACTTCCCGATTGCAATAGAATAATTCCCTCTTTCCCATTATCAGTAATTATAGAACTGCAATATTGTAATTGTTAATAAACAGAATAAACGATGTCTCAAATCAAGTTCAAGAATCGTTACAACAAGAGACTAAAAAACTGAATTATTGAATTGGAAATTCGAGCTACAAAATAAACCTTCATTTTCGAACAGTAAGATAAATTAATATGCGATTATATATACATATATTTAAAGTTACAGAAAAAGTATTCAATAGTTAATAAATTATAATTAATTATATATATATATATATATCATTTTAAACTCAGTCACATATTTAATTTATTCCTATATGTACAAAATGTTTCCGATGATCCGGCTCGTTTTACCAAGACCGGTTCGAGGGATACAAAATTCTTTCCGTTGACAACTCAGAGACTACGAGATGTTATGTGATAGCGATATTCGGTCAGGTGGAAGGGATAGTATAATAAATTCAATATTAATACATCTAGTTGTTACTCTGTTTATTTCGTTAATTTCCAGACAGAGGAATGTTTATTATGACTGTTATCAATTGTTAAACTCTTGTTGGGCAGATCACGCTTATCGGTGGTAATGGCCTCAATCCTTTATATATGCTTGATGACCTGGCTTCTTAGACTTCGAAGCTTAGATGCTTAAAGTAGTTGATAATACATGCGAAGACTAATCGTGGACTCAGTTGAGGGACTTTTACGCATCCGTCTTCAATGAAGACTTCAACTAGTAGTACTTGTTTGGGACTCCAATAAGGGAATTTTATGTCTCCTTTCCTTAAGGATTTCAACGAAAATTTATCTTCGAACTACGTTTAAGGAACTTTCCACTTCCTATTTGAATAAGGGCTTTATCGATAGTGATTGAATCTTGAAATTGTCTCTGTTAAATATATTCACTGACCATAAATTACACTTTGCATCCCTTCCCTTTTTTGTGTCGAATCGGAGAATTTTTCACTCACAGAGCAAGGGCAGCGCCTCTTGTGGCCTCGTCTTCAATTACGAAGCTTGTCGTCACTTGATCTTCACGGCAAGAAGAGCTCTCGATTTTGTTGCCTTCAACACGTCTGCCGATCGCATAACAACTTGTCGACAAAGGGGGGGGGGCAGTACATGCTGTTAGATTTTCGGGCACAGCGATTCCTTGCGGCTGGCAAATAAGTTGGGTTTTCCTGAGTCATACAACTTGTTTTGCCACATATTTAATAACACTACTGATAGATGTTTTATGTCATAGGAAAAGATTCTCGCAATCTTGAACACTACATAAATGTATAATATATTTTTGTAAAAAAACTGGAAAATCTTTAACGTTAAATATATTATATTTTTATTTATATTTATGAATAATTGCGTTATTTATAACTGCTTTTACTATTTACTATTGCATTTGAAGAAAGTACATCATCCTATTGTGGTAAAGCAAGACTTATAAAATTAATGCTTTGTTTCAAGTTTTCTATTTAGCATAACTAAAACGGGTTCTTTTAGTTACCAATTCGAGTATCGAGAATGATCTAAAAAAAAAAAAGGAAATATAATTATAATTTTCATATTATTATTTGTATTACCTAATTTGATATAGAAAGTAAATAATAAATTTTTTAATATTTATTTGATATTAATAATGTTATATTGTATTCATTTTATTTATAGGCCCGCCTTCAAAGTTCTCGATATCAAGTTGGTTTGGATAAACTAGAATTATGTACGTACAGAAATTTGTTAACAAAATTACCTTCAGGAAAGTCTTCGCTCGAAGCTGCTTATGAAGCAGTTGAATGTAAAATGCAAGAAATTGTATATTACGTTGATCAGTGGTTAAGGTATCAATCATTATGGGACCTACAACCTGAAAATTTATATGGTAAATTAAGTGAAGATATAACACTATGGATGAAATGTTTAAATGACATTAAGAAAACAAGAACAACATTTGATACGTCCGATACAAGAAGAGAATTTGGTCCAGTAATTATAGATTTTGCTAAAGTTCAAAGTAAAGTTTCATTAAAATATGATTCTTGGCATAAAGAAACATTAGGTAAATTTGGAACTTTACTTGGAAATGAAATGACAAGTTTCCATGTACAGGTGTCAAGGTCAAGGTGTGATCTTGAACTACATTCTATTGAAGCATCAAGTACTTCTGATACTGTCAGCTTTATAACATATGTACAGTTATTGAAAAGAAAAATGAAAGCATGGGAAAAACAAGTTGATATATATAGAGAAGGTCAAAGAATTCTTGAGCGTCAAAGATTTCAATTTCCATCACATTGGTTACATGTTGATAATATAGAAGGTGAATGGGGAGCGTTTAATGAAATTATCAAACGAAAAGATACATATATTCAGACGCAAGTAGCATCCTTACAATTAAAAATCGTTGCTGAAGATAAAGCCATTGAAAGCAGAACATCCGATTTTCTCAGCGATTGGGAACAAGGAAAACCTGTAGAAGGACATTTACGCCCGGATGATGCATTGCAGCAACTTCAACTATTTGAAAATAAATTTACACGTCTAAAAGAGGAACGCGATAATGTTACTAAAGCTAAAGAAGCCTTAGAACTTTTAGAACCTGGCATAATGTCAATTAATGAAGATCGAATGCAAGTAGTATTTGAAGAACTTCAGGATTTAAAAGGAGTTTGGTCAGAATTATCCAAAATTTGGACACAAATCGATGAAACTCGAGAAAAACCATGGCTATCAGTACAACCAAGAAAACTTCGGTTACAATTGGACACTATGTTAACGCAATTAAAAGAGTTACCAGCAAGGTTAAGGCAATATTCATCATACGAATTTGTAAAAAAAATGCTTCTAAATTATACTAAAGTTAATATGTTAATTGTTGAACTTAAATCAGATGCATTAAAAGAAAGGCATTGGAAATTGCTAATGAAACAATTGAGAGTTAATTGGGTGCTAAGTGAATTAACTCTAGGTCAGGTATGGGATGTTAATTTACAAAAGAATGAAGGAATCGTTAAAGATATTATTTTAGTTGCACAAGGTGAAATGGCTTTAGAAGAATTTCTTAAACAAGTTCGAGAATCGTGGCAGAATTATGAGTTAGATTTAATTAATTATCAAAATAAATGTCGATTAATTCGTGGCTGGGATGATATTTTTAATAAAGTTAAGGAACATATCAATTCAGTCGCTGCAATGAAATTATCACCTTATTATAAAGTATTTGAAGAAGAAGCCTTAACGTGGGAAGAAAAACTAAATCGAATAAATTCTCTGTTTGATATTTGGATAGACGTACAACGTAGATGGGTATATTTGGAAGGAATTTTTTCTAGTAGTGCTGATATTAAAACTCTTTTACCTGTAGAAACATCACGGTTTCAAAGTATTAGTTCTGAGTTTTTAGGTTTAATGAAAAAAGTATCAAAATCTCCTATGGTGATGGATATATTAAATATTCCTGGAGTCCAACGATCTCTTGAACGACTTGCTGATCTTCTTGGAAAAATACAAAAAGCATTAGGGGAGTATTTAGAAAGAGAAAGAACTTCTTTTCCACGCTTTTATTTTGTCGGAGATGAAGATTTATTAGAAATAATCGGGAATAGCAAAAACGTATCAAGACTTCAAAAACATTTTAAGAAAATGTTCGCTGGGGTTGCATCCATTGTACTAAATGAAGATAATACGATAATTATTGGTATAGCTTCAAGAGAAGGAGAGGAAGTTATATTTCAAAATCCCGTTTCTACAATTAGCAATCCCAAAATCAATGAATGGCTGACTCTTGTAGAAAAGGAGATGCGAGTTACTCTTGCTTCTAGTCTTGCAAATGCTGTACAAGATATTAAAAGTTTCAGAGAGGATAATGTTAATTCACAATCTTTAATGAATTGGTGTGATAATTATCAAGCACAAATTATTATATTAGCGGCACAGATACTATGGTCAGAAGATATTGAAACTGCATTGCAAGAAGCTCAAGACAATTTAAAAAGTAATCCATTAAATCGTGTTCTTATACAAGTCGAAAGTACTTTAAATATTTTGGCTGATTCTGTACTTCAGGAGCAACCACCGTTAAGAAGAAAGAAGCTTGAACATTTGATTAATGAGTTTGTTCATAAACGTACAGTTACTAGGAGATTAATTTATAATAATGTTTCAAATCCGAAAGCGTTTGAATGGTTGTGCGAAATGAGATTTTATTTTGACCCTAGGCAAACAGATGTTCTTCAACAATTAACAATACACATGGCGAACGCAAAGTTTTATTATGGATTTGAATATTTAGGAGTCCAAGATAGGCTTGTACAAACGCCGTTAACTGATAGATGTTATTTAACCATGACACAAGCATTAGAATCACGATTAGGAGGATCACCATTTGGACCAGCTGGCACTGGAAAAACGGAATCCGTGAAAGCGTTAGGACATCAGTTAGGAAGATTTGTCCTAGTATTTAACTGTGATGAAACTTTTGACTTTCAGGTAAATTTCTGTTCATAGTTTCTTACAAATTTTTTATTTTTATTTCATAACTTTTTATTTTTAGTTCAATTTTAAGAATTTCTAAGTAGTTTATGCATTATTTTTTCCAGTTATATCTGGATTACATTGTATTATGATTGGCTAACTGATAATGGATGACATTGATTAATAAATTAGTCATTATAATGCTAATATGTAAGCTCTAAATATTAAGTATGATTTAATTAGATAGTAATTTTGTAACTGAAAACATTCGTCTGTAATTGTTAAAAAAACTTCCAGTATTAATAGATTTTAATATTTTTTCCACATTTCCAATGTTGGCATACCGAATAAATATTATAGTTTAAAATAGATATTAAAATAAATATTATAAATTAAAAATTTTTTTATATTCTTTAGACAAAGACATGCTAGTAATACATAAATGAAAGTAACTATGTTAGATCGCAAATAGCTTGAAAATTTTTAAAATGATTTTTTTTAGCCTTAGAATATATCTTTAACTTATTTTCAATTGTTTAAAGTCTTAATACCCCTGAGATATTATTAAATCGAATATTAATAATATAATAATTATTAAAAATTATATTTGGAGTGAAATAAATTATCGAAATAGCCTATAGTAAAGGCACATTATTGTTTATTAAAGTTTATTCTGACCATCGTGGAATGTAATCAACAATTAACAAGTTTACTAGTGAATATTTATAAAGAAATAATGCTTTAAAATAATCTTTATTGTGAATTAATTCAAAAATATTTTCAAAGTTCTTCGGTTCATTAAACTAACTTAAGCAGATTTTTATAAGTTACATATGTATAGTATGTATAACTTATACTACAAATTACATCCTTATTTGTAATTTACTTTTATCTAAATGTAATATTTTTAAAAATTATGTGATAACGTTTATTTAAACAGCTTCAGTAATTGACTAGTGCGTTAAGATACAGTTATAAATTACATGATAAATTTGAAAAAGATATTGAAAAATGTATGTTTGCGAATGCAAAAATGTAAAAGTAAGATGCTCTGTTAATAGTTAAAATAACGCTAGTCTTTTTAATGGTACATTTTTTAAAGAGATAGATCTAAAAATAAGATCACAAAATTATCAGACAATTGAAACAAAAAATAGCAAGAATATTTTATTGTGAGCTATAATTTTTAATTTATTTAGAACTAATCGTTGTAAGAAAAAATATTTAGATACTTTATGTTTATGAAATATAAATTATTCACATAATAAAGAATAAGATTAATGAATGTAGTATGTATTACTTGTATGTACTGGGTATCTGTTTCATAATATAGATTTATTTTCTATTTCAATTTTAAACTAATCCAATTTGCGTTAAATTTTTTTTACATTTTATTGTAGCAAATTATTTTATCAATTGCACATATAAATAGTAATTTAAATATATAATTTAATCATTTATATTATAGATCTATTTTTTTAATTTAATCTTTAGCTTTTTATTAAGGAATGCAATGTAATGAAAGTTATTAAAAATTTGCTTCAGAAGTTCATAAATTAAAAAAATATTTCTTAAAACTTGCTTTCAATATTTGAAATTTTATTATTTCAGGCAATGGGTCGAATATTTGTTGGTTTATGTCAAGTAGGTGCTTGGGGATGTTTTGATGAATTTAATAGATTAGAAGAACGAATGCTATCCGCTGTCTCTCAACAAGTTCAAACTATTCAAGAAGCTTTAAAAAGTCAAATTGAGGGTCGCAAAGATGAAGCCTTATGCGTAGAACTAGTAGGAAAACAAATTAAAGTAGCAACAGATATGGCTATTTTTATCACAATGAATCCAGGATATGCTGGTAGATCAAATTTACCAGATAATTTGAAAAAACTATTTAGGTCCTTAGCTATGACAACACCAGATCGTCAACTTATAGCAGAAGTAATGTTATTCAGTCAAGGATTTCGATCAGCAGAAAAATTAGCTTGTAAAATAGTACCATTTTTTAGGTAAGTATTTAATTCAATTTGAATAAAAAAATCATACTATTGTATTAGGTATTTTATATAAATATAAGTATTCAAATTTATAAAGAGACAAAACCTTGTGATATAAACCATAGAATTTAACAAAAACAAAAAAAAATACGTATTAAATTGAACTTATACTAAATACTAAAGTATTTATTAAAAATATAAATTATATTTTTTGTATATAAAATTAGGAATTTATAATGTAATTATAAACAATAAATAACAATGAAAATTCTTGGGGAAAATTATAAAAATTCTTAAGTTATAAATTTAATCATTAAAAATAATATTGTTTATATGCATTAGGTAATAAGATACATGCAATAAAAAATTAAAAATTCTAAGTATTAAATTTCAATTTTCAGACTGTGTGATGAACAACTTTCAAATCAATCGCATTATGATTTTGGTTTGAGAGCATTAAAATCTGTATTAATATCGGCTGGAAATGTAAAGCGTGATCGAATTCAAAGAATTAAAGAAGGTTTAATGAACCGTGGAGAAAACATTATTGATGAAGCTTCAATTGCTGAAAATTTACCAGAACAGGAAATACTTATACAATCAGTATGTGAAACAATGGTTCCAAAGTTAGTAGCAGAAGATATACCATTACTATTTAGTCTACTTAATGATGTTTTTCCAAATGTTAATTATACTCGAGCTGAAATGAAGGGTATGAATAAAGAAGTTTACTTTATTAACTATTTTGTATTCATAAATTTATAAATATTTTGAATGTAAATATAAATTTTGTATAAGAGATTTTTAAATTTCAATTTAACTTTGTTAACATAATTAAAAAACATTCTATTAATTTTAAACACATTTACAAAATTATTTTTAGAAATAAAATCATTTAAGAAATATTAAAAAATATTAATAAAAAATTAATTTGTTGTATGTAGTAATTTTATTAATAGTAAGAGTTTAATTAAATCAAATTAAATATATAAAATTGTATATTTAATACAAATATAGAAGTATATTTAAGAATAATTTACATTTCATTGAAGAATCGAAATATTTCGTCTGAATAATATAATAAATTATAAAATCGGATTCAATTATTTACAATAAAATAGAACTCATTCTTAGCGCTTAGATATTGTAGAATGTGTTGAGTAATCATTATATATTAACATATGTAAAAGTATATATATAACTTTATACTGAATGTTTCATACTAAAATTAATTATATATTACTGTGTTAATCTTTATGAGAAATATTTTTAAAGAATGTTTTTACTTACGTATTTAAGCTTTTTTCCAAAAATATAAAATTTAATTAAAGTTCTGTTAAGCAAATTTTATTTGAAAATATTATTTATTTAGGACTAAAAAGAGAAATTAAAAAAGTATGTATAGAGGAATATTTGGTATGTGGTGAAGGACATGAGCATGGCGGGGCCTGGCAAGAAAAGGTAAGAAAGTGTACTAAAAATATTTTCTTAATAAATAAATTCTTAATCAATTTTCGTCCATTATAATATAATCCATAATATGAAAGTGCTTAGAAATATGCCAAGTATCTGTTAATAATAAATATGTAAAGCATATGCAACTATATTATAGAATATGAGTAAAATTTTTATGTATAATTACTGTCTGAGATAAGACTAAAAAACCTCCCAGTGATGTTCGGTGGAGGGATTGGTGACAAGTGGAACAGGAAGGCGCATTAATTCAATGTCAACACACAGCTTATCTTGGGTTTTCTCTTTATTTACGAACTACAATGAATATGACTCTAAGGTGGTGCTGGAATCTGAAATCCTTTCAGTATTTTTCACGTGGTGATGGTATTCATTACCTGCAGTTGTAAGAGGTGTAAGTCTCTGGTAGTTTCTTGAGTAGTACCATGTGTTAGTGACGTTCTAACATCTGTCCCTCGTAATCGTGATGTTTCACCTGTGTCCCGTCGTGGGACCTTCGCGATTCAATAAATACTTAGTAGACACGTACTAGGCTATCGCTCTTGCGCCTTTCATATGTGGATTTTTTTTAATTAAGTTCACAGTAATTAAAATCTTACCTAATTATGTAATGAGTGTGTGGGTAGTGCACTTCTAGTTTGATATTCACCTTTGAATTAGACTTAGCATTCATGTCTGCTCGAATATAGCACACTTAAATGATTATAATTTCTTACGACTTCACTCTTGGCTTATTAGATTATTGTTGCAGAGTTTGGCGAAATTATGGCGAGTTAATAACTGATAATGCATTGATTGAGAAATGGTAATGAGCGATAACAGATGTGAACGATTGGTGAAAGTACAGTGAGCGATAACTGATGACCGAATGATTAATAAAGATACAGTGATCACCAGCGCGTAGCGATCTGCCCTGAAATATTAGCGTGGCAGCTTGCAACGCTGTTAGCAGTGCTTGGGCTTGTTCATAGACCGAAACTCTTTATAACGTCAGAGAGAAACTGCAGAATATTCGAGTAGTCCAGAAGAACACTGAATTGGAAGGTTCGAATTTTCGAAATAACGAGATGTAAGAAGTTTGGAGAATTCCAAGCAACGTTACTACTCGAAGAGCATAAACATTGAAGTCCATTTGAACTCAAAACATAAGTACACGAAAATTCTCGTCAAAAGTGTTTACAGAAACCTGAGAGCTCGACAGACAGACGATGCCGATAGTTGACGGTCTTCAAAATTGCTTCAATACCGAACAATATCTGTATAATATTTTATCTCTTGTAAATATAAATGTATTATTAATTGATTCATTTAAAAACATTTTGTACCTATTTTAGATGTCTACAAATATAAAATCTCAAAGTCTCAATTTTCTTTACTTTTCGTTTTACGTTTGTGATTAACTGATTTAATATAAATTGCCTAAAGGATAGAATATATTTTTAACAAAAATGGTACTTCATTTATTAATTCTTTTATTAATTACAAGTAAAGATGACTTAATAAGAAAGATGGATCTCTCACCTATGATAATTCACAAATATAATAAAAGAGGTTTATATATTTGAAATAATAATACATTTAAAATAATAGTAGGTTAATAGAATATTTAAGAAGCTGCACATGGCGTTCGTGACCTCTTACTAGTTCAATCAAGCAATCATCAAGATCAAATTATTTTCCTACAAGTCAACGCCATTTACATAGAGGTCACACCCAATACACAACGATCTATCTCCACACACGTAAGCTACGCTATTACACACGTCCTTACGTACCATCAATACAACTGTGATCGACTCCACACACGTAAGCTACGCTATTACACACGTCCTTACGTACCATCAATACAACTGTGATCGACTCCACACACGTAAGCTACGCTATTACACACGTCCTTACGTACCATCAATACAACTGTGATCGACTCCACACACGTAAGCTACGCTATTACACACGTCCTTACGTACCATCAATACAACTGTGATCGACTCCACACACGTAAGCTACGTTCTTACACACGTTCTTACGAATTACTAACACACGGCTCCGTGAACTAAGTAAGCAGCAATACCTAAACCACGGCTTCATTGCCATTCATCAGTGACGTCACACACCAACGCCACCATTCAGGCCTCTCCAGCTCATCGGTAGCGGCAATGGCTGCATCAATTCTCATCAACAGTGACGTCACACACTAGCGCCCCACCCAGGCCTCTCCAGCGTATCGGTAGCGGCAATCGGTGGCGTCAATTCTCCTCACAGTAACGTCATACACCAGCGCCCCACTCAGGCCTCTCCAGCTTATCGGTAGCGGTAATGACGGCATCAATTCTCCTCACCAATGACGTCACACACCAACGCCACCACCAGGCCTCTCCAGCGTATCGATAGCGGCAATCGGTGGCGTCAACACTCACCTATCACACCGTGACACTCTTCACGGCATCATCATCCTTTATCAGCACATCTCCCACTACCACTACGAGTTCTAATCACAAGTAGGAGAGTCACGCACCACACTCAAGAATACACTTATAAGATTATCATCACTCATATCACCTGAAGAAACTCCCATTCATTGTATCATTCATTCAATCTCACCTCAATAGACCACTGATTATTTATTATATCATTATTATTCAGTAAAGGGAAAACTAACTCATACAAAGGCAGTATTGAATTATTGCATTGTCCATTCCACTTTCCAGCAAGCCTCCCTTGACCATTTCAGGGAAGCGTTATTTAGTCTGATCTCAGACATAGTACATCCCATTTAAAAAAAAAGATGTATCTATGTATAGAAATTAGAAACTCATATTTTATACCTATTTTATATTAAAATTAATTTATTGGTATTAGAGATTTTGAATATAATCAAATTTTCATATTTTATTTAATATTATCTACTTTTGATTTATATAGTGTTTTTCTTTTAAAATTAAAATAATAATATTTATAGGTTCTTCAGCTTTATCAAATTTGTAACCTCAATCATGGTTTAATGATGGTGGGACCTAGTGGATCTGGAAAAACAAGTGCTTGGAAGGTTTTGTTAAAAGCTTTAGAAAGATTTGAAGGAATTGAAGGTGTAGCTCATGTAATTGATCCTAAAGCAATAAGTAAAGAAATATTATATGGAGTTTTGGATCCCAATACTCGAGAATGGACCGATGGGCTTTTTACGCATATTCTGCGAAAAATTATTGATAATGTCCGAGGAGAAATAAATAAAAGACAATGGATCATTTTTGACGGTGATGTTGATCCAGAATGGGTTGAGAATTTAAATTCTGTTTTAGATGATAATAAATTACTTACTTTACCAAACGGAGAACGTTTAAGTCTTCCGCCGAATGTACGCATAATGTTTGAAGTTCAAGATCTAAAATATGCAACATTAGCTACTGTTTCTCGTTGTGGTATGGTTTGGTTTTCTGAAGATGTTTTATCGACTGAAATGATATTCGAAAATTATATACTCCGTCTAAAAAATATTGCTCTGGATGATGGAGAAGAAGACAGTATAGTTAAGAAATCTGAAAAAGAAGATGCTATATCACCAACTATATCAGTACAACGCGATGCTGCTAATGTATTATATGGATTTTTTTCCCCAGATGGTTTAGTTGTTAGATGTTTAGATTATGCTTCCAAACAAGAACACATAATGGACTTTACTAGATTAAGGGCTTTAAATTCACTTTTTTCAATGATAAATCAATCCCTTCGAAATATTTTACAATACAATCATACGCATCTTGATTTTCCATTATTAAGTGAACAATTAGAACGTTATGTTACGAAATCTCTTATTTATGCAATATTGTGGAGTTTTACAGGAGATGCGAAACTAAAGGCCAGATCAGATTTCGGAGATTTCATTAGATCTATTACAACCATCCCATTACCACCCCAAACAAATATTCCAATAATTGATTTTAAAGTTGATATTCAAGGCGAATGGCAGCCATGGAGTCATAAAGTACCACAAATTGAAGTAGAAACACATAAAGTAGCATGTCCTGATATTGTCGTTCCAACTTTAGATACAGTAAGACATGAAAGTCTTCTTTATACGTGGTTAGCTGAACACAAACCTTTAGGTAAAAATAAATCAATATTATATTTTTTTGTATTTAAGTAAATTATTTAAATTATTCATAAGTTAATATTTTAATTATTTTACGTCTTAATGCTTACCTTTTTTTCATTTGATCTTTTATGTTATAATTACAAAAAATGTATGTGACTTCTGACAATATTACGCCAGTAAAATAAGAAGTAAGGAGTTTCGCTAGATTTAGGAAGGTGTACACTTTTTTAATTTTATATTAATATTTATACCTTTTATGATATTTGTTGTATTTCTATTTTTTAAACTTACTAAGTTACTATTTGCAGTCATGTTATTTATCTAGTACAGTAGAAGGTGAAAATGTGTTTTTTTTTTTTTAAATAACTTTATTGTCCTAATTTAGTATGAAATTATAATTTTTATTAAAAATGAACAAATAATATATGTATCATATTATTTTATCATTTTATTAAGTACTATTTTTTAAAGGTGGCATAATTTCACTAATAATAAATATTGAACTATACGATTTATTGTCAACTTCTGAATCTACTATTCTGTTTAATGTATTGTATAATTATATTATACTAATATTATAATATGATATAATATTGCACTATAATAATAGTTATAGTGCCTTTTGAAAAGAAACCTTATCCTGTTTTTAAATCCCACTTTATTGATTTTTGAACTCCTTAATATAATTCTAATTCACTTTTTATATTTTATCTATCTAATAATTTTTACAATAATTATTAAATGAAAATTTAGATAATTAAAAAGTTAAATACTTAATATTCTTATTAGAATTATATCAAAATAAGTTTTCAACCAGTGATTTATATTAAGATGTAAATTATAATATATCTGAAAATTATCTTAGATAATATTATCTTAGATATATATCTATTAATCTATATATTTTGATTGGATAAAACTTATGAGCTTAATATTCACTAGCTATCAAATTGTTATGTTAACCCAACATATGCATAACTCAAACTTCAGCATTTATCAAAGTACAAAATTGTATTAATATTTATGAGATGACTTATATTATGTACTTTGTTTGAAATTTTAAGAATACTATTGGTGTTCGGAATTTAAAGGGTTAGCTTATGGCTCGAACTGCCAATTCAATAGTTCAGTGGATTAGTCTCTCGGCAGGATAATTTTAAAGGAAATCAATAACGGACAAGGCTAAAAAATATAATATATTTATTTTAAATAAGGTTTAATGAGTGTAAACAATTATAATAATATTGCACTGTTGTGTAGAAATAAATAATTCTGTTGGATTATTCAAAAGATGTGTTCTTGTGATTTTTCTGCTATAAAGGCTTCTTTGGATATTGCTGTGTTGCTTTGAGGTTATGCTGATGTCGTCAGTCAATCATGCTTGTGAGGCAGCATGAGAAGATGGTAGTTGAATCAAGTATGCTTGATTGATGAATAGCTATACTTGATGTGGTGTCAGATCTTAAATGGAATTTATTATGTAATCAATTATGTCTTTAATTATGTAAAGGGTGACTTGTTTATTTATTAATATAAAAATGTACCTGGTGAACTGCAGGTTGGATGTATTCGATGCTGTGTATGTAATGTTCCCTTTGATTACAATTCCATTGGCTTCACTGTAATCACTTCTTAAAGAACTGCCGATTATCTTTTCTATGCACGCGGGTACTCTTTACTATGCTGCCGAAAATATGGCCACGCGGCGTCTTTACAGTATACTATGCACTGACCGGCAGTTACGCTTGAAGGAGAGCGAAGTGACTTTATGAATGAGCTTATGTTGTCGAAAATGTGGCCACGCGGCGTCTTTACAGTACACTTGCACTGACCGGCAGTTACGCTTGAAGGAGAGCGAAGTGACTTTATGAATGAGCTTATGTTGTCGAAAATGTGGCCACGCGGCGTCTTTACAGTACACTTGCACTGACCGGCAGTTACGCTTGAAGGAGAGCGAAGTGACTTTATGAATGAGCTTATGTTGTCGAAAATGTGGCCACGCGGCGTCTTTACAGTACACTTGCACTGACCGGCAGTTACGCTTGAAGGAGAGCGAAGTGACTTTATGAATGAGCTTATGTTGTCGAAAATGTGGCCACGCGGCGTCTTTACAGTACACTTGCACTGACCGGCAGTTACGCTTGAAGGAGAGCGAAGTGACTTTATGAATGAGCTTATGTTGTCGAAAATGTGGCCACGCGGCGTCTTTACAGTACACTTGCACTGACCGGCAGTTACGCTTGAAGGAGAGCGAAGTGACTTTATGAATGAGCTTATGTTGTCGAAAATGTGGCCACGCGGCGTCTTTACAGTACACTTGCACTGACCGGCAGTTACGCTTGATGGAGAGCGAAGTGTCTTTACGAATGAGCCTCGCCTCATGGCGCGTTGCGCTTAAATGTGTATGCGGCGTCTTCAGCGCCGGCAACAGTTTCGATGCGCGTCCCTTCCAGAAATTTTCCTTTGGCGTGAGAAAACGAAGCTTCTAGAAGTTTCGAAGGCGTCCCTTTTTTGTAAGTGCTGGCAGTAAATAATATTTCAAATCGTAAACTTGCTCGGACTTGCCGAGTTTTGTTTGTAAACATTTGCTTGAGTACCCGCCTCGGTCCGCACGTGCGACTTAGCCTAGGCGCACGTGGTGGCCAGCCTTGCTGCACGCGCGGTCAGTCTAGGTGCACATGCGGTACGCCGGGCTGCGTAAATGACCTTTCTTTTGTTTGGAATTCATGACCGCTTCAATCCCGAACAATTGGAGACTGCGAGAGCATTTTTTTCTTTTTTGTCAGTGCAATAAAACATCTAGCAAGTAACATCGTAAAATTTGTATTTGGATTCAAAACTTCGCTTGCTCAAAATTTTCACGCATTAGTGTCATAAAACATCTGAAAAAACAATACCATAAACACGCGAAAACTTATAGTTTTGACATCTGCATTTTCGTTCCGCTCGACAACTACATCAAGCATTACTGCAAGCGGACCTTCCTTCCCCTTCCCGCTGTCTACAAGTTGCAATGCTGTAATCAGATGTGTCAGCGAACCCCCCCCCCTTCCGCTGCCTACATGCTGTCGCATGCGGCAGCAGTAATGAGAGATCTTCTCATCATGAAGACTCAGAGACGACTAGGCCCTAAATTAACTCCGAAGCTAAAAGAGGCGCTGCCCTCGCACTATAAAGGAGGAGTCTCTGATAGGACAGAAAATAAGGGAAGGTGTTCAAGTAAAATTCATGGTCAGCAAATGTATTTAAGGGGCGCAATTTTCAATACTCATTTACTCTCGATACTTAACTCTCTTAATCGATATCATTCGTGATATTTAACTGTCTTGATATTTACTCTTGATAGTTTTCAGTTAGTAGTATTTTCGTGATATTACTCTTTTTGAAGTGTCTCTTTTGTTTGATATCTCTCTTTTAGTAATACTCTCTCAATATATTAAACCCTTGAAACATTTCATACTCAGTTAAATTTAGTGAAAGTCAATTTAACGCTATTTTGGGAACGACTTACACTTCTTTGGATTGTCCATTAACACTGTTACTGGAACAGTAGTCACTGCCCCGGAAGAACTACGACATAAACCCGTATGTCCACTAACACAGTTCAAGAAACCGTAGTTACTTGTTCCAAGAGAGCTACGCCAATCCGCCTATCAGAGTCCGAAGACGAGTCAACGATTAGTCTTTATAAGTAGTATCTACTACAATAATTATATATATTGAGATTCAGAGTATTACATCGACAAGCACTAAGGACGAAGAAGCTACTCTTAAAACGACAGTGCGGAATAAATTCCAGTATGTGTCGTGAAGTTTCGCGCCCGCCAGGGGCATCTCATTTCGTAACCCTCACCTTAGTCAAGTTCGGAAGTAAGCAAAACCCAGCGCTAGTATAGGCAATCCAGTTTCACGCCACTCGCGATATCTTCCAATCCTAAAGCCGCATTCATAACCTCGACCACACACGTGCTCGTTCAAAGGCGCTAATTGTCGACAACCGAAACTTCGCGCCATTCAACATTCGTATTCAACAATCAAGCTGCATAGATTATTGTACAGTTGTCTCCGCAACGCATCACTTCAATCAAAGAAATTAGTTCTACAAGTAATAATAGTAATACTAGTCAACCTTGTCATTAATAAATAACAGAATAAAAAGCATATACTTCAGCCATATCTTTATTGTATTATTATAATATCCCTTCCTCTTGTGACCTGTCATCGCTACCACACAACACCCGTGGTCTCTGAGTTGTCAACGGCATCAAATTGTATCCGTCGAACCGGCCTTGATAAAATAAGTTGGAACGACGAGCTGCATTTTGTACAAATACTCTGAAGTCATTACACATCTAGAAAACTAGCATTAAGAGCTCCGGAAAATGCAAACCCTTGGCTATCTAAAGAAAACAACTCATAAACACATCTGGCGAGAATATGCTATCTAGTGTCTAGCGCAAACACATCATAAACTAATTCAACGATGTTTCAAAGAGGATTAGAAATAATTGTTACATAATTTAGAAAATACTTGCTGTTGATTAACAACATTTCATATGGATATATTGTGATTAACTAAACTAAATAGATTTTTTAATTAAATATTGATATATTTTAGTAATTATAATTATTGTAACTTTTATTTAAATATCTTAACTTTATAATATTGATATTTATTATACATCTGTTTTAGTGCTTTGTGGACCACCAGGATCTGGAAAAACAATGACTCTTTTTTCAGCATTAAGAGCTTTACCAGATATGGAAGTTGTTGGCTTGAATTTTTCATCAGCAACTACACCAGAATTATTACTAAAAACCTTTGATCATTACTGTGAATATCGTAAAACCCCAAATGGAGTTATTCTTTCGCCTGTACAACTTGGAAAATGGTTAGTTTTATTTTGCGATGAAATTAATTTACCTGAAATGGATAATTATGGTACACAACGAGTCATATCATTTTTGCGACAACTTGTAGAACATAAGGGCTTTTTTCGTACAGCAGACCAGGCTTGGATTTCGACAGAACGAATTCAATTTGTTGGTGCCTGCAATCCGCCGACTGATCCAGGTCGTAAGCCACTAAGTTACAGATTCTTACGTCATGTTCCTATTATATATGTTGATTATCCTGGAGAAGTTTCTTTAAAACAAATTTATGGTACATTTATTCGTGCAATGTTGAGATTAATTCCTTCTTTGAGAGGTTACGCTGAACCATTAACAAACGCAATGGTCGAATTTTATTTAACATCTCAAGAACGATTTACACAGGATATGCAACCGCATTATGTATATTCTCCTAGAGAAATGACTCGATGGGTGAGAGGTATATGTGAGGCAATTAGACCACTCGACAATCTATCAATTGAAGGCTTAGTTCGACTCTGGGCACATGAAGCTCTACGCCTTTTTCAAGATCGATTAGTTGAAGATTCCGAACGACTTTGGACTAACAAAACTATAGATATTGTTGCTTTAAAACATTTTCCAAGTATTAATAAAGAATCGGCTTTATCTCGGCCAATATTATATAGTAATTGGCTTTCCAAAGATTATGTTCCTGTAAGTCGACAGGAATTACGAGATTATGTCAGAGCTCGGTTAAAAATATTTTACGAAGAAGAATTAGATGTTCCTTTAGTACTATTTGATGAAGTACTTGAGCATGTTCTACGTATTGATAGAATTTTTAGACAACCTCAAGGGCACCTTCTATTAATTGGTGTGTCAGGAGCTGGAAAAACTACTTTATCACGATTTGTTGCTTGGATGAATGGTTTATCAGTGTTTCAGATAAAAGTAAGTTGGTATAAACTAGTATTTGTTAAGAAAATGTATTTTTAATAAATTTTCAATTTTTGTTTAAAATAATCTAAAATTTTACAATTGTGATAATTTACGTAAACTTCGCGGAGAAATTATTTGTATAGTAATAAAGTAATAATTTTTCAATAGTTTGGAAATTTAGCATTATTATTTATGTGTGGGATCAGGCTAAAAGCCTCCCTGAGATGGTGGGTGGAGGCTTGCTGGCAAGTGGAATGGACAATGCAATAATTCAACACTGCCTTTGAATGTAGTGTTTTCCCCTTTATTTAATATAAAAATATAATGAATAGTCAGTGGTCTATTGATGTAGAATTGAATGTATGATACAATGAATAGATGAAAGTTTCTTCAATTAATATGAGCGACAAGAATCCTGTAAGTGTATTCTTGATGGCTTGGTGCTTGATTCTCCTACTCATAGTTATGAACTCGCAGTGGTAGTGGGAATAGCTGCAATCCGTAACAATTTATATTATTATTTATTTGTTGCAAATATATTTTTCGAATTGATGCGTAAGCGATAAGCGTATTAAAAAATGTAACTGAATATATATATATATGCAAAATGTGTTCGCCGTTCCGACTTGCTTTACCAAGACCAGTTTGAAGGATACAAATTGATGTCGTTGACAACTCAAAGATCATGCATGTTGTGTGATAGCGATGAAAGGTCAAAGTGGAAGGGATATTATAATAATTTAATATAAATATGTCTGGTTTATATGCTGTTTATTCGGTTATTTATCCAATTACAGGCCGTTGACCAGTATTACTATTATCAATTATTGAACTCTTGTGGTGGATTATTGCGTTTGCTATGGCAAACGTACACTCATCAAATGCAGCGTGATGGTTCGAATATGAGCGCAGAATGGCGTGAAATTTGATTCGTCGACACTCACGCTGTTCATAAGAGCACGTGCGTAGTTGCCATGATGGTAGTAATGTAGCGCGACACATGTAACTGTTGTGAGTTGAAAATATACTCGGATCGTAGCAAGCGTACTATAGTCCTGATATTGGTGTACTGCAATAAATTCAGATGGAAGTAAGAGTTTGAAAGGCTTTACCTCATGAAGGTTACTGTTACTTTTAGCGCGACACTTATAACTGTTGTTACTTGAGAGATTTACTCGTACCGTAGCAAGCGTACCTTGTCCTGATATTGGCGTACTGCAATAAATTGAAATAGATGTAAGAGTTTGAAGGGCTTTTACCTCGTTAAGGATACTGCTACATGTTGCGTCTGCTATGGGCGTTGAATGGCACGCTGAGTAGATTCATAAACGTCGTACTCGAGCTAAGGTGAGGATAGGCCGTCAAGGCTCGCATACACTGGTGCGAACTTGGCGACGACTTTGATATTATTCCGCACTGTCTCTCTGGTGAGAGCCTCAATTCATTATGATACTTGTCGATGACTCAAACCCTGAATCTTAAATATTAATTGATTATGATAGTAGTGATAGTAGTTACGAAGACTAATAGTAAACGCAGTAGAGGGATTTTCCGCGTCCTTTTTGCCGAGGACTGTTACTGGACATTTGTCCTGTAACGACAAGAATCCTGTAAGTGCATTCTTGATGGCTTGGTGCTTGATTCTACTACTCGTAGTTATGAACTCGCAGTGGTAGTGGGAGATTCTCGCTGTAAGGGTCAGTGATGGTGCCGCCTTTGCGTCTGCCAAAAGAGCTGTAGCGCCCTGTGTGGGGGGCGCCTGTGTGACGTCACTGATGCGGGGCAGTTATGATGCCGTGGCGAGATTCGCTCTAAGGGACAATGATGCTGCCACCTTTGCCTCTGCCTAAGAGCTGTAGTGGCCTAGTGGAGGAATGATATCGGTGTCACGTTCTGCTTGACGTGTGAAAGTATTCCTCGTGCCGTACACCACTTATTAGTATTGCTGCTTACTTAGTTGATTGGAGCCGTGTATTAGTGATTCGTAAGAACGTGTGTAATAGCGTAGCTTACGTGTGTGGAGTCGATCTTAGTGCATTGATGGTACGTAAGAACGTGTGTAATAGCGTGGCTTACGTGTGTTGAGGTCGGTCCGTGTAGTAGCGTTGGTAGGCCGTGAGCTGGGTTCGATCTATAGGACGGCGATCTTGATGGATGTTTGATTGAACTAGTAAGAGAGCGAGAGCGTCAAGCGCGTCACCTTAAATATCCTAGTACAGGCTTGCGATTCCGGTGAATTCTGGATCACTCTTGTCATGCTGATTGCTAGAGTGACGTCACTAGAGTCTAGCCTTGGAGAGTTCGTCGGCCCTTGTTAGTCGGAATTGTAATGTAATTTCGACTATTTGAGTAGTGAAGTTTCCCGATTTTGTAGACTCGTGTTTATGACTTGGTGCGCAATGTTTTGACCTAGGCAAGTGTCCTTACCTCTCGCACTTTGTTTACCGCGTAAAATTGCTGCAATCCGTAACACGTATTATTAATCAATGCGAGTACATATTAGTATATAAAATATTATAATAGAGTTTTCCGTTTAAATGTTTAAAATTTTTATGATATTTAATTGAACAATTCCTGATTTGTTGCAATAAATTTTAAATGTTATCAATGTAGATTCTTTGATCGTACAAATTATTGCATAAAATAATAACTAACTTTTATATTTCAAGTTTAAATAAGAAGAAAATTAAGAAATTTTATTTAATTATATGAAATCAAAAGCATTAGAAACAAAATTTCATGGACTTGTTTACTGAGTAATATTGTTTTAATATTAAAAGACAATTTATTTTTGATTATATAAATAATAGGTCTGTATTTTATGTAGTATCATAATAATATATAGGAATATAACATGATTATTTCCAAAATCATGTATATATCCTAATAATATTTTGAATGATTTTTATTAATAAATTTATTTTAATTTCGAACGTATTTTATCAGTTTCTAATTATGTTTTCTTTATACAGAAAAATTACATAATATGATAAATAATTTCAAAAATTTAAACAATCGATTAATTGAGGAAACTTATTTTCGATCATATTACAGTGAAAATGTTATTGAATAAAATTCCATTGAAAATTTACAAAATATTTTATAAACCAAAATCGTTACTTTGTGGAAGAGAATATTTATCATTATTAGTTATAATCAATTATTTTAGATTAATGTTAATAAAAATGTAATTAACATATCAATGATTCTTAATTTTAAGTTAGTTACACAAAGACATCTGTATTCTCTAATAAAAAATTTTTAATTATCAAAAATACTATTTTCTAGATATGTATGTATTAAGTTATGTGTATTTATTAGTAAAAAATGGTCATTAATAATACATTTATGTCACGTATGTATCTGGTATATAAATAATTAAGGTTATGCAATTTTGTATAAAGTAATTTTTGCTTACCTGAAAAGGGGAAGGTATGTGTGTATGTGCACGTGTCGTATGCGTGTACGTGTAATATAAAATTTATATGAAAAATGAATTTCTAATTTATATTTATATTCATATAAATCTTTGTAATATAATTTTTATATAATTACTACAGGTACATAATAAATATACTGCCGAAGATTTTGATGAAGATTTACGTCAAGTTCTTCGTAGATCAGGTTGTAAAGATGAAAAGATTGCCTTTATTCTTGATGAATCAAATGTTTTAGATTCTAGTTTTTTGGAACGAATGAACACCCTTTTGGCAAATGGAGAAGTTCCTGGTCTATTCGAAGGTGATGAATACACAACATTAATGACTCAATGTAAAGAAGGTGCCCAGAGAGAAGGATTGATGCTCGACTCAAATGAAGAATTATATAAATGGTTTACGGGCCAAGTAATGAAAAATTTACATGTTGTTTTTACAATGAATCCTAGCACAGATGAACTCAAAAATAGAGCTGCTACATCACCTGCGTTATTTAATCGATGTGTTTTAAATTGGTTTGGAGATTGGTCTGATAATGCATTATTTCAAGTTGGAAAAGAATTTACGAATAGAATTGACTTGGATAACCCGAATTGGAAGTGTCCAGATTATTTTCCTTCATCTTGTTCAATTCTTATTGGTCAAACAACACATCGGGATGCTGTTATAAATGCTTGTGTATACGTTCATCAAACATTACATAAAGCTAATACCAGATTGATAAAAAGAGGATGCCGAACAATGGCTATAACTCCAAGACATTATTTAGATTTTATAAATCATTTTGTAAAATTATATCAAGAAAAGCGTAGTGATTTAGAAGAACAACAATTACATCTTAATGTTGGGCTTGGTAAAATTGCAGAGACTGTTGAACAAGTGGAAGAAATGCAGAAAAGTCTTGCTGTTAAATCCCAAGTATGTATTTATATAATAGGTATTAATATAATAATTGAAAGTAACTATGCTTAGATAATTAATGTAAATATCAATTAAAATCATGTTAGATAATTTATACTCTTGTAATTCTGAAATATACATTATAGTCTATAAATTTTTAATGAAATATATATTCCATAAATGTCAATAAATGTTTGTTCGTAAAATAATCCCACAATTTGACTAGTCAGCCAAACGTGCAATAATTAACGTAGAACAATAAAACCCACTAGATGTTATGTGGGGTTGCCGGGCAAGTAAAGGGTGAATGCACTGATTAATAATTAACACATGTCTTTATTATTTCTATTTATTTGAATTGATTTACAAAAGGGTGAATTACAGACGAACTTTATATTTCTTGATAATCTTGTGGTGTTGAAATATATTTACTATGAATGAAGCAGGTTATAATCTATTGAATATTATCGCTAAGAGGTTATCATGATTGTAGTGCTCTGATCGAACACTGGAATGCCATTGTGTTTATCTTAACACGTGTATAGTTCCCTTTAAATATCGGTCGTAAGAGAGCCGAGATGGAGGTTATGCGAAGCTGTGCGCCATCTGTGGCGGGAACAACTTGCAGTTGGAGGGATTGAGAAGCCAATGTGGCGTTTATAGCTGGTCTTGTTCAAGAGTATGTCCGGGAAGCTTCCGTAGTTGGACTTTATCCGTCCGTCTTCTACATAAGCCGAGAAATCAAGAATGAGTACTAGCTGTAAGGACTTACTTGCAGTGTATCGTGATTTTCCAGTCTCTCTTCGATGGCTTGTTATTACGTTCCCTTGCAATGTTGCAACCCTTCAGTTCTTCCTTGTCTCCAAGTGAGACCACAAGTGGTCAGGTCCCACGCAATCCAGTCTTGATGAGATCAATTCAACTGTACACTAATTCACAATAGTGGAAAGAACTTATTATTAAAACTCAGCTAGCTAAACGACTCATCTCTCCGATCCTCCTCCGTGAGAGTTGGTCGTGACTTATCCTTCACTGTAAGAAGTATTTGGAAAGAGTAAGTGAGGGTACATTACGTAGTCCCTTCTTAAAATGATTCACTGATCCCGCTCCACTTGGGATCCCTTCTTCCTTTATTAATTAACCAATCAGTGGTTGATCTTGGGTCGCACAATAGATTATGCACGCCTTCATTTCCACTTCCTTCCGGGCTCAGTTCCGAATTTGCTAATTGGGAAAGTGTCGGAAGGTGGCGAGCCTTTTCCATTGGTCACCTCTCTTTGGTTGCCTCATCCCTCTCTGGGACTTGGCTAGAAGAAGGGTCCGCTTGGGCGTGGTCAATTTTCCAATACGATCGACCAGATGTGGCATAGCCAAGAACAATGCAAGCATTGTCTTAAAGGCCGAGTGCGCACGTATGGTCATTGCATGTGTAGTACGTACGGGTTTTCGGTTGCAGTAAATATTTGTACTCAATGCTTCACGCATATCTGATATTCGTTTCGAATCTACTTTGGGGTTCTCCCGGCAGTAAACCCATTAGGTTCTACTGCACTGGGAGTATGAGCACGTTCCGCTAGAGTTTTCCAGATGTTTTATGACACTAGTACAAATAATTATGAGCAGGAAAGTTTTGAAGTCTTAAATACAATTTTCATGACATTACTTGTCAGATATTTTATTGCCTTATTAAACGGAGTCTCTTGTTTTTATTGTATATTAATAGTCATTTTTGTATAATAAAAAAAAATTTATTTTGTACATACATTCTTTCTTAGATAATGAATTTCGGAAAACATTAGCAGTAGCATAACCAATAGTTTAATATAATTTTTACACATTATGAGGTCGTACAAATATATAAATATAATATGATGTTATTATTTTTTAAATATTGATATGGGAAATATGATAAAAATTGAAATGTTTTAATAGAATTAATATAATCTATTTTTAATATACATTTGTTAAATAGTAAAATGATATAATCTCTTGTTATTGTTTCCCATTTTTAAACAGTAACATCGAAAATAATGTATTACAAAATAACGATTTTTTTCTGTGGTAATATCATCTTTATATTTAAAGAAAATTGTTAATGTACTATTTGACATTCTGAATTCTTGTTAATGTAGTATTTGAACATTCTATTACTAAACAGGATTCAATAAAAATTCCAAAATTATCAATCTCGTATCAATTAAGATGTAATGTACAAAATGTACTCGGCGTTCCGGTTTCACTATTCACATTACTCACTACACTTTACACTATTCTGCCTTCTGAGTTGGCTGCCTTGGCCTGGCAGTGGTTCGTCTTATTGATAGTGTGAAGCCGTTGTTCCTGATTTCATTTTGCTTTTATTTTCACCGGTAAGATAAACCTAGTGTAACGCGCAATTATAGCGCGGTTTCAGCTAATTCTTGCGGCGTGTCCGCACCTCCAAATATATTGTCGACGGATGTTCCATGAGTAATGGAAGGTAGTGCAAGAGGGTATGTGTCTCCTTCGTCTTCTACTAATTGTAGCAGTGTTCTTACTGCTAGTAATGGACCGGTTCGCGTGCCATATGTGACTGTTGTCAAATAACATGGCACTACGTTGTTTTGTTCGTCTACCCATAAGATTCTTTGTAGGTCCAATCATCCTCATGTACTCTTACCTGCCTATACATTTTTTTATATTTGTTGAAAAGAGATATCGATGTTTGTGAATCCAGATCAGCACTTCTAAAATTTTAGGAGTTAATTTTTCTCCTGTGTACCTCATTTTATTGATGGAATATTCGGAAGTCGATAGGCTTGAGCCGTTGAATACCCCACGTAATTTGGTGCTGGAGCTGCTTGGTTTTAATACGCCATATTGAGACAAATAGTACTGAGGTTTATCTTGGGATACTCGAAAAGCTCTGATCATGTGGTTGAGGTCGTTATATGTCTGCATGAATTCTTGATGGCGATATTTTTCATCTCTCGCAAAGCGTCTTATAAAACTTTGTAGGCATTGATGTACAGTTTTGTAAGAGTAGCCTAGGAGGTCGAGTGACTTCTTTATTGGAAGTCGGACGATGTAGGTCCCTGATGAGTCTCGAGCATGAGTTCTTTGAAATAATCCTCACACCATTGCTCATCAGGGTTAAGTTGGTGTTCGATGCTCCTTGGGACTTCTTCGTGCACCCAAAATCTTGTCAGTAGCTCTTGTAACATATTCTCTACTTCATTTGCTGAAGTGTGGAATGATACTGTGTTCATACCTTCCGTTTCATTAATGGAACCAAGCACTAACCATCCGAATATGGACAATTGTGCTTTGACATGGACGGTGCTGGCTTAATTCTGTTGGGTTCTGAGCTTATTGGGCTGTGTACTTGCCTTCGAATTACTATCTTTCATGTAATAAGGTGTGGTGTCGCCTTATACACTTTTTACATCTGCTGTTGCTCTAGCACCATTGCTTTGGATGATAGCGCAGGCAGTTGGTACATAGGTTCCTCTCGGTTACGAAGGCCTTCCTTGCTTTAACTGGAGCGTCTATGAATTTTTGACATGATGACAATACGTGATCACCTTGACAGTACATGCATGTTATGGTGCGGTCTGAAGCTTCTGGCTTCTTGTCTGTGGTCGACTACTAGTTGGTTATGGCTTACTGTGTTCCAAAGCTCGTATTCTGGACTTTTAGAAGGTGTTGAATTGTTCGAATGTGGGATACTTGAATGTATCAACTATTGAACTCTCCCATTGGTCCCTTGTATACTGTGTAAATCTCTTGGCTGTTGTATGTAATTAAACAATCCCATGGATCAGTATCGAGTTGTAAGTATCGTAACTTCCTTAACAGTCGTTACAGTAATCGATGGCTTTCTCCAATTCTTGTGAATCATCCTCCAATGCTGGAGATTTAGAGAGAAAGTCACTGAGATGAGATTGTATTATTCTGCAAGTGTCCTCAAACTTTTCTGATATGGCTTACCAGGTTGAAACGAATCATTTTGTATCGAAAGCGTGCTACAGTTTTGGCAGCATCACCTGTCAGTGATCTTAGATAATAAAGTTTTTGTACCTCGCTATATTTCTTATTGTTCGTAACTGTTGGGACAGATAAATCCTGGAATATGGGTCATTCTGAGTAATCGCCTGTGAATTTTGAAATGAGAATATCTGGCAAACAGCTCATGTTTATTTCTGTTTTTATCCCGGTGACATTAAGCACTGCGCTGTTGATTACTTCGCTTCTCTGAGCTTGGATATCAATTGATTTATTTTTAAACTCACATCTAAATATAGAGTGAATTCTTCTTGTAGGACAACTTATGCAAGATATTCATGTGAATCCATTATTATCGGCCATGTTGACACAAGATAGTTTTATTCTTTAACAAATGTTTTGTGCAATGTTTCTACTATTCCCTTTAAACCCATTGTTTCCATTAATGATGCTAAATCCTTTAATGAATCTATTCGAAAGCATTGAGCTCTGGTCTTAACGTTGAACTCTGATGAATGTCTGTCCTTAACACTACTGCGAGTTACACGTGGTTCTTTATCGTGAGTGATGGATACGTTAACATTGGTTTCCTTGGATTGACTTTTATCTTGGTGTGATATTTTTTTTCTGTAATAATGTAACGTTAGAAAATTTTTGATGAGTACCCACCGTGCCCTGGAGATTCTTTTGATATTTTACTGTAATTTTCAAGTCTTTCTTATATAACAGTTCTTCCTGTATAAATACTGATTTATAGAATAACTTCCATTTATTCAGCTTAGACGACAAATAAGATGATAGATAGATAATAGACAATGAAGAGCCGTTTTCTCTGGTTACACTGGAACACTTGCGCTGTTCGTGTGAGCACGTGCTTAGTTGAGGTTATGGTTGTTATGTAACGCCACACAAGTAACTGTTGTTACTTGAGAGATATACTCGTATCGTAGAAAACATACCTTAGTCCTAGTATTGGCGTACTGCAATAGTTGTTCCTTAGGAAGTAATAGTTTGTAAGGCTATTACAACGTGAAGAAAACTGCTACGTGTTGCGTCTGCAATGAGCGTTGAATGGCACGCTGAGTAGATTCATAAGCGTTGTACTCGAGCTAAGGTGAGGATAGGCCGTCAAGGCTCGCATACACTGGTGCGAATTTGGCGACGACTTTGGTATTATTCCGCACTATCTCTCTTAGTGTTACGGATTGCAGCAGTTTTAAGCGAAATAAAAGTGGGAGAGGTATGAGCGCGCGAACATTTGTTTTATAAACAAATATTAAACAAATGATAACGGACAGAATGCTTCTAACCAAAAAACTCGAATATACGACTATAATTTCGAAAAGTAATAACAAATGAACCCTACAAGGCTATGTCCTGTTGACGTCACGACAAATATCCGCACAGCAACAGCCACCGATGCGCTATCGGCGCAGCAAGTTCGGAGGAGAATATTTAAGGAGCTGCACTTGATTCTCTCGTCCTCTTACTAGTTGAATCAAGCAGTCATCAAGATCGGATCGCCGTCCTATAAGTCAAACGCCACTTACATAGAGATCTCCTCCAATACACATGGATCGACCTCCAAACACGTAAACTACGCTATTACACACGTCCTTACCTACCATCAATACAACTGAGATCGACTCCACACACGTAAGCTACGCTATTACACACTTTCTTACGAATCACTAACACACGGCTCCGTGAACCAAGTAAGCAGCAATACCCAACCAGTGGCATCAACGCCCCCCCCCCCACCAGTGACGTCACACCATCACCACACTCGGGCCTCTCCAGCTTATCGGTAGCGGCAACCAGCAGCATCAACGCACCTCCATCACTAGTGACGTCACACCAGCACCACTCAGGCCTCTCCAGCTTATCGGTAGAGGCAACGGCGGCATCATCAGCGCATCTCCCTCTACCACTACGAGTCATAACCACGAGTAGGAGAATCACGCGCTACATCAAGAATACATTTACAAGATTATTATCACTCATATTACCTAAAGAAACTCTCACCTATTCATTGTATTATACTTTCAATCTCGCCTCAATAGACTACTGATTATTTATTATATCATTATATTCAATAAAAGGAAAACCAACTCATGCAAAGCCAGTGTTGAATTATTGCATTGTCCATTCCACTTGCCAGCAAGCCTCCCTTCAACATCTCAGGGAAGCTTTTAGTTGGATCGCAGACACCTAGAGAAGGCCTCAATTCCTTATGAATGCTCCATGATGACTTTAAGCTCTGAATCGTATATGTTAATTGATTATTGTAGTAGTGATATTACTTACGAAGACTAATGTTAGACTCAGTAGAGGGACTTTCCGCTTGTTTCTTTATAAGGACTACCTCTGGAGATTTGTCTTCGGACTGCGATAAGGGAATTTTATACGTCTCCTTTCCTTTAGGACATGTAACGACAGTTATCTTGAACTACGTTAAATGGGACTTCCACTTCTTATTTGAATAAGGACTTTATCGAGAGTGATTAAATCTCGTAGTTGTATCTCTTAAATACATTACTGACGATGGGTTTCACTTGGGATCTCTTCCCTGTCTTTGTGTCCAATTAGAGCGCGGGTTTGGGCTGCATTAGTGAGCATGCCGCCCTTTTTTCCAGTTCCGAAGAATTTAGGCTTTGGCGATGATAACACTGAAAAAGTGTCTTCGGCGGCAGCACTTACAATTGGTAGGCTCGCTCCTCTCTTGGGCTTAGCGACGTGGGAGGTTCTTGGTGAAACGTCGTTACTTGGCGCGTCCAAGAGGCAATTTCGGCTTACTTGACAACAATGTATGTATTGTTTCTTGACCTCGATATGTGTACGTGCCGAGAATTGCCCGTTGTCGCTCGTGCAGGCTTTTGGGTTACAATGAATATATTGGAAATAATTTTACACTTGATTATTGACTTGATTATTGAATACTTGATTTGAGTACACTGGACTTTTGAGAGATATTTTATAAAATAGGCTTAGTTTATCATATTATTAAAATAATTTAGTTATATTCTTATATTTATATTTATTATTAGGAACTTCAAGCTAAAAATGAAGCTGCCAATGCAAAATTACGACAAATGGTGAAAGATCAACAGGAAGCTGAAAAGAAAAAAGTGCAGAGCCAAGAAATTCAACATCAATTAGCAATACAAACAATAACAATTCATCAAAAACGAGATGATGTTATGGCCGATCTTGCTCAAGTTGAACCGGCTGTTATTGATGCTCAGAATGGTACATGTACATTATCTATATTGTTTATTCATAACGTAGGTCGTATATATTCTTTACATATATTTCTACACAGTACACGTGAATTCACACACATTCACACATGTACATACAATTATTTTTACAATAGATTGAGAAAAGGCAAGCGAAGTCATGATTTGATAAATATATTTTATTTAATCGCTGTGTAAAAAGAACACAAAATAACCAACGACCATTTTCACGAATAATTTTGAAGTAAAAAGTACCTATATAATAATGTATTTGGTTTGCTTTTTTGATAATTTTAGTTATAACTCAATTCATGTAAGTTTTTTAAAATAAATAACTTGGTTATTATAAGTGTAATAGCAAAATTTTACCTTAGATACCAATTATATTTGTACATTACAATTCTTTAATTTTAATATTTATTGACTTTCTTATTGTAAAATTATTATTACTATATTAGAATTTTTATAGAAGAAAAAATAGAAATTCCGAAAAGTAGTATCGCCTTTATGTAACTTTATTATTATGCTTGTTTTTAGCTGTTAAATCCATAAAGAAACAACATTTAGTTGAAGTTAGATCAATGGCCAATCCTCCTGCAATAGTTAAAGTCGCACTGGAATCTATATGTTTGTTATTAGGTGAAAATGCAAGTGAATGGAAATCTATTCGTGCCGTTATAATGAGAGATAATTTTATTAACACAATCGTTTCTAACTTTAGTACTGAAAATATAACGTAAGTATTAATTTACGATTTATTTTAAAATATTACACAAGATTTAGCATGTACATACATATATTTAATTTACGACTAAATGAGAAGAAATAACTCATTATAATAAGTAATTAACTAGAAGCTGAAGTTGCTTAAAGTAACACATGAAATAGGGTCCGCGAGTATAAGCACTGAATGCTTCCTATGAATGATACAAATCACTTACGACTATGAAATAAATATAAAACCAAGATTAAGAAATAATCATCATAAAGTTAACTATAGAAAATTAAAATTAACATTGATTTTGTAAATGTCGATATATGAAATAATAAGGAATATTTTAATTAAAAATTATATAGATTTGAAACATTTATTTATATTATAGTCTTGTATAAATGATAAAAATTATTAAATCAAAATTTCAATATACTAATAATTGAAATCAATTACACATTTTTCAAATTTAATTTTTTAATCTATATATTAGTTAAATAAGATAAATTCTTTATTTGTGTACTATAAGGATAAATGATAGTGTATAATAAAAACATATTATAAAATTTATACCTACCGAATTTTATTACTAATAATAATATATTTTATTAAAATAAATTGTTTGAAGTGTATATGTTAGCTCATAGCTTATTTAAATGAAGTATAAATATGTTTGTTGAATTAGGTAAAATTTAAATGATGATATTAGTTTTATAAATTTAATAAAAACATTTAAAATATTTAAAATTTATAAAATATATCTAATAAAGTATATACTTTATAATTTGACCGTCTTATGATTAATATTTTTTATATTTTACTGCTTGCGGAAATGTCATTGTTTAAAAGATTCCATCGGTTTAACATTACAAATGTTGAAATTTCTATAAATATTGTTTATGTTTCTTTTTCTAAATGATATTAAGATTTCGTTTTAAAAGGTCAATTTATATATAGAATTTTAATTCATATATTAAATAAATAAATTTATATCTCACTAGGATTAACATAACATAACATATATAAAAATACATAATTGATATAAGCTAAATCTCTATTATTTTTTTATTAAAATCTATCAGTTAATTTTAGTTAGTACATATTCTATTTTTTCTTGGATATCATATAAATAATATTATATTAAATTATATTACTTAATAATAATAATAAAAATGCTTAATTTATACATTAACATTAAATGGTCTATTTTATTACTTTATAGAGATGATGTTCGTGATAAAATGAAGAGTCGGTACTTGTGCAATCCTGAGTATAATTTTGAGAAAGTGAATAGAGCCAGTATGGCTTGTGGACCAATGGTAAAATGGGCAATTGCTCAGGTAATAAAACTGCAATTTATAAAATGCTAAATTTTATATAATTACAGTTATTTAGTATATTAAAAAGTCTAACAAAAACTATAAATGTACTTATTCTTATGCATAATTATTATTATTTTTCTTTGCATTTAATTTAAATTTCGTTCAATTTATTAAAAAATAGCAATGTTTTATTTATTTATTATAGATTGAATATGCAGACATGTTAAAACGGGTTGAACCACTACGAGAAGAACTTTACTCTTTAGAACAACAAGCCGAAACTAATAAATGCAAAGGAGAAGAAGTGAAGAATCTGATCTCTCAGTTAGAGTTGAGCATTGCTTCGTATAAAGAGGAATATGCTCAACTAATTTCTCAGGCTCAGGCTATTAAAACAGATCTTGAAAATGTACAAGGAAAAGTCGATAGATCCATAGCTTTACTTAAATCTCTAGTTATTGAAAGAGAAAGATGGGAATCAACTAGTGAAACATTTCGTAGCCAAATGTCTACAATTATAGGTGATGTTTTATTATCATCAGCCTTTTTAGCATATGCTGGGTACTTTGACCAACACGTAAGCCTAACTGTATTTCTTATCGATTAATTAATTGAGAAAAATGCTAACGTTAAATTAGATTTTTTTTATGCAAATAATAAAGTAATTTAAATATTTGCTTATGTAAAATTTTGCTTCATATAAGTCAGTTATAATATCATATATAATATTCCTAGAAATCTGTTAAAAATTAATATTTCTTGTATCTTACTTTATATGTAACTTGTTTATAATAAATATTTATATTGTAATTGTTTAATATTTATATTTTTACTCATTGAGTAACAATTAATAGTTAAATTGCTAATTATAACTTTATATTTTTTTTAAATTATTAAAAAACTACAATTATATAATTATATAAATTATAAAGAATAATTTACGATGTTTAAAAATATTTCTGAATATATAAATATAAGATAATTATGATTATGAATAAAAAAAACATCAAGTGAACTTAAAGCAACTTAGTGCATGTAAAAAATAATTTTTATTATAGTAATAAATTTATATTTTACTAAATAAATTTAAATATGACTATTTTATGAAATATAAAATTTAAATTCGCGTATGACTAAGATTTAAAAAAATATAGTTTACCAAATTATATTATGTGTGATAAATATTGATTCTAAAAGACGAATTCCATTATTACAATAAGTTTTTAAAATGATTTTATATTAATAGACTGTATTTTGAATTTAATTATTGTATTTATTAGGTTTTGAAAAAATTGTTATATTCATGCATTTTATTGGATAGACTGAAATAATTAAAAATAATATAGTTTATTATATATGTAACTATAACGTTCTAGCATATTACGAGACAATAGTATTATTTTCTATGTTGTTACGTGCAATAACTATAGTAATATTATATTATTTTCTTGGCCGAAAGATATTAAAAACAATAAAACCGTTTGTAATTCTTGTTAATAAACTATAATGATTAAATAAATTCATGTTGCTAATAAATTTGTACCTAGCAAGATATTTTGTTTATATTTTACTCTAGATAAACATCATATGTTCTATTCTAAATAAACTTTTGAAAAATGTTATTTATAAGCTACGCTTACGCTGCAATTATTAAAGCATGTGATTAAATGTATAAATTAGTATATATATTTTTAAATATTTTTACAATATACTACGTAAGTAATTAAGAATTTTTAATTATATTTCAGTATCGACAAAACTTATTTACTACGTGGTATCAATATTTACATAATGCCAATATTCAGTTTCGGCTTGATATTGCGAGAACAGAATATTTATCAAATCCTGATGAGCGCCTTAGATGGCAAGCGAATGCATTACCAGCAGATGAATTATGTACTGAAAATGCAATCATGTTAAAACGTTTCAATAGATATCCTTTAATTATTGATCCTTCTGGGCAAGCAACTGAATTTTTAATAAACGAATTTAAAGATCGGAAAATTACAAAAACTAGTTTTCTCGATGATTCATTCCGCAAAAATTTGGAAAGTGCATTGAGATTTGGAAATCCATTACTTGTCCAAGATGTAGAAAATTATGATCCTATTTTGAATCCAGTTTTAAATAGAGAACTTAGGCGTACGGGTGGGCGAGTACTTATTACACTTGGTGATCAAGATATTGATTTGTCGCCCTCATTTGTTATATTTTTATCAACAAGGGATCCAACCGTTGAATTTCCTCCTGATATTTGCTCACGCGTAACTTTTGTTAATTTTACTGTTACGCGTAGTTCTTTACAAAGTCAATGCTTAAATCAAGTTTTGAAAGCTGAACGTCCTGATATCGATGAAAAGCGGTCTGATTTACTTAAACTTCAGGGAGAATTTCATTTACGATTAAGACAACTTGAAAAATCATTATTACAAGCACTTAATGATGCTAAAGGTAAAATATTAGATGATGATTCTGTTATTACTACGCTTGAAACACTTAAACAAGAAGCTGAAGATATTAGTAAAAAAGTAGAAGAAACAGATAAAGTCATAGCAGAAATCGAAACGGTATCTCAACAATATTTACCGTTATCACAAGCTTGTTCAAATATATATTTCACAATGGATAGCTTAAATCAAATACATTTTTTGTATCAATATTCATTGAAAATGTTTTTAGATATTTTTACCTCTGTTTTAACGAAAAATGCAAAATTATCTGGCATTTCAGATTATGTACAACGATTATTGTATATTACAAATGATCTTTTTTCAGTATGTTACGAAAGAGTTGCTCGAGGTATGTTACATAATGATAGACTTACATTTGCTCTGCTTTTATGTCGTATTCATTTGAAAGGTATGACATCCGGTGTCACGTATGACAATGAGTTTACATTTTTCTTACGTGGAAAAGAAGGTGTTTTAAATATTAATATACCACACATACCAAACCTAAGTTCTGAACAACAAGAAGCTTTAATACATTTGAGTACCAGATTATCAGCATTTCATAAACTTGCCGATATCGTACATAATAATGTAGAATTTAATACATGGTTACAATCACCCACACCAGAAACATACGTGCCAAAACTTTGGAATGAAGAAAAACCTAATTCACGAATTGGAACAGCAATGAATCAGCTTTTAATTATTCAAGCATTTAGGTAAACATTTAAAATAAATATATTATTCTTATTCTGTTGTCAATAACATTGATAAAAAACAACTTTTGTGATTTTATAAATTACAATTAATTTTTTATAAACATTTTAACATTGTGTCTACCATTAAAAATTATAATTGTTAATGTTTATTATCATATGATTTCCTAATTATATTTATTCCTAATTATATAAATCTCTCTTATAACGTATTTCACCAATTTCTACTGCTATATTGTGTAATATAAATAAATCTTCATATTTATATCTCAATTCCTGTTGAATTATGAAGTGGAGGTATTGTTGCAATATACAAACACCCTGTGATAATAGTTTTAAAAAGTAATAATTCAATATTTTTTAATTAAGGAAGTTTATATACAAAATTTCTTGGTTTTTCGTGTTTTTTTTCTTAATCTCGATATTAAATTCATAGTTTTATTTAATTTTAAATAAATGGTTAATTAGTTTTAGGTGATAGTTAACTAGTCTTTTCCAAAATTTTGTACACAAACGAATAACAGCAACGTTAGTTATATATTTCTTAATTATATTTCTTATTATTTTTATTCCTTTTCATGTGCTTCTAACTTAGTTTTTATTTAACTTAAATTTAAGCAATAAATTTAAATTTATTTCCATTTTTATTTTGAAAATGTTATATGCGTGGTATTTAATATATCTAAATGCTGTAATTATGGATGGCCTAAATTATTTATTTGTGAATAAATATAATTTAAAATTATTGTACTAGTTTTAATAAATATTGATTTTTAAGTTTTTACAAAGATATAATCTCTTTTTTTTTATTTATTTAAAGGCTTTAATTTTTAAAAAATTATTTTTATTGGGTATGTGATATGCTAAATATTTTTATTAATCATTTTTGAGCTGAAAATAATCTGAATATCTTAATACATCGTTAAATATCGATGTTAGAACATTTTAGACTGTTTATAAAGTATTAAAGAATATAGACATTGTTTTATTATTCAGAGAAAGATTAAACCGCGTTATTTTTTAATTGATGCAATATTCTATTCATTGATTATCTATAAAAGGATAACTTATCAATTTATTTGATATTGAAAAGTAATTGAGATTTTATTTATTACAAATATTGTTTTATGAAGTTTCATATATGTTTTAAAAACAATATTATTTAATGACTAAGTTTGAAATGTCAATTTAATTTTTTAAATGTGATGCAATGACAAATTTCTAACATATTAATGTAGTAAAATAAATAAAATTGTACCATGCGGTTAATTGTTTATTGATTTTTGTATGGCTTATTCTTGCATAACTTAAGGAAATCAAGGAAAGTAAATATTAATGAATTAATATGAATAAATTAAGTTTAATTTAATTAAAATATGTTTTTGTTTTATAATGCAACAATGATATCATGTTATATAATTATATATCTTTATTCGCTTTATTGTCAGGCCTGATAGAGTGATTGCAGCTGCGTCATTGGTAGTGATATCTGTTCTTGGGGAAACATTCATGAGTGCGGCAGAAACTGAATTAGATTTTTTTAATGTAGTAGAGAATGAGTTGAAATCATCTATTCCTGCCTTGCTATGTTCTGTACCTGGCTTTGATGCGTCAAGTCGAGTAGATGATTTAGCAGCAGAATTAGGAAAACCAATTGTGAGTATAGCTATTGGCTCGGCAGAAGGTTTTAGTCAAGCTGATAGAGCCATTAACATTGCTGTTAAAACTGGTAGATGGGTTATTTTAAAAAATGTACATCTGGCACCACAATGGCTTATACAATTAGAGAAAAAGCTACATAGTTTGCAACCTCATCATAATTTCAGATTATTCTTAACAATGGAGATTAATTCAAAGGTACCCGTAAATTTACTTAGAGCTGGACGAATCTTTGTATTTGAACCACCGCCAGGAATAAGAGCAAATTTATTAAGAACTTTTAGTACAGTACCAGCTTCTAGAATGATGAAACCACCAAATGAAAGAGCTCGATTATACTTTTTATTGGCATGGTTTCATGCTATTGTTCAAGAACGTTTACGTTATGTGCCACTTGGATGGGCTAAGTATTACGAATTTAATGAAAGTGATTTAAGAGTTGCATGTGATACTCTCGATACATGGATTGAATCAACAGCTATGGGCAGAACAAATCTTCCACCAGAAAAGGTAATACACAAATTCCATATCTAATTTATTGTTGGTAACAATGAAAATTGGGCAGAGTGTTATTTGAAATTTAGATATTTTGATTTAAATTAATATTATATTAATTTCTTTTATTTTTATTTTTTATTTTGTGAAGATCATACGATAGCTTAAAGTTTTATTTTCATTATATACTAATTTAAACATTCATTGTAAATTAAAATCTTTTTGCTTATTAATATTCTTTTAGGTTAGAAGTAAATATCAATTTTGTATAGTTAGTAACTGTTTCATAATCTTACTAGTTACAATATAAATGTTTTTTTTTTTATTTTATAATAAAATTTACATTCAATTTGTTGCGATAATATAAAGACGCTGACAAAAATATATCAGAATTAACAAAAAAAACTTTTAACATATTACAATATGTTAAATATATTTCATTTAATTTGTAACTCAAGTAATACAATTTCAACATCGCACTAATATTTTTCTTATTTAGTAAAAATTTTAGTTATGTAATATTCAATTAATATTATACGCATAGTTCTATGTCAACGTAAACAATAATTTCGATATAGTTTCTTATAAATTGTCTTTGGTGCAATATAGCAGTATTAATTATGAAATTATAGGCATGTTTGTCTGGGATCAGACAAAAAAACCTCGTTTGATGTGGAAGGGGCAATGCAGTTATTCAATAATACATGCAGTGTTTCTTGTCTTTCCTTTATTAAATATAATAATATAATAAATAGTTCATGATCATAAAATGTATGAATGATGATGAATGGTATGAATAATTTGGGGAAGTTTCTTCAATTGGTTTACGTGCTGAGGAGAGTGTGTATACTCTCCGTGATGTGAGAAGTAACTCCTTCCTTTCCGAGAAGTGGCGCAGTAGTAGTATGCGTGAGAGCTGTCGCTGTAGTACAGAAGCTTTCTATAGGGGGACCGTTTTGCTCTTGCCTTAGCGTCGGTGTGATCCGTTAATATATGTAGTATTTCGATGATTTCACTCTCGATTATGTTAGCACTAGCGCGTTATTCGTTTTAGTTTAATTAACGGATTCTGATAATGTGGCTTCACTATTGTATTGTTAGATTGTTTACTGTTTGAGTATTACGTACGTGTATATCTACAGTGAGTGGTGACTGTAGCTTGAAGACTGAATAGTGAGCTCGTCGTGTTGACTGCGTAATCGTTATTACGCTAGAGTGAGACAAAGACTAAGGGCTGTTCGGCACGCGCTGCCCTTAAGTATTCTCGTGATAGTTTTAGGCGCCGGTAGCGATCCGGTGTCTGTTGCTATGCCGATATTTGTCGTGACGTCAATAGAGCATAGCCTTGTAGTGTTCATTGTTATTACTTTTCGGAATTATAGTCGTATATTCGAGTTTCGGTATAGAAGCATTTTTGAGTTCGTTGGCCAGTGTTTACAAAACAAATGTTCGTGCGCTTATACCTCTCCCACTTTTGTATTCCGCTTTCAACTGTTTCAATCCGTAACAATATGCCATATATTTAAGTATTTATATTATACTCGCATAATATGTTTAGTATAAGTATTTTTCATCCGCTTAAATTGTTAGTAATAATAGTAGATATTGAACAAGAAAAAAATAAAAAGAACGTCTAATCATTTTGTTATTTATTCTTTTCAATAATTTTTTAAGTACTGTGATTATCGTCGTAAATCTTTGATTGTCATTTAAATCAGTGTATGATCAGGAGAAATGTACATGTGAAATTTAGATTACATTGATTTTAATCTATTTTTCAGTCAAGGTTGGCAAATCGTAGGATAAATTCTGCTAATCAGTTTGATTCTAGAATTTTTCTGGCTATGTATTGTTATTTTTGAATAAAGGATTATATTCTATAATTTTGCTGTTCTTTTTCTATTCTTCCTTGCATTTTTAAGAGTAATTGTGACTAATGTAAAATTATAAATACTAAATTCTTATAATACATTCACTCTAAACATTTTTAAAAGCATTATATACTTAGAAATTTTTTTAATTTAACGACCAAAAGAAAAATTAATAAAATTTGTAGTATATTATATAGACAAAATATGTTCATTCTTAGAATGAAATATATAATTAATATTAATTAAAAATATACTTAATGCTTGTGTTCGAGATTGCGAGACCTTTTTTCAGTGCATAACATCTGGCAAAACATCGTAAAATTTGTGTTTATATTCAAAACTTTCTTGCTCGCCACCATCTAGCAATAGTGTCATAAAACATCTGGAAAAACAATACAATAAACACGAGAAAAGTCACTCAGTTATGCATATGTACGAATTCGCTCAGCTCAGTAACTACTTCAAGCAGTATGTACTAGCGGATCTCGCCCCCCCCTCCCGCTGTCATCAAGTTGTCATGCTGTCGCCAGATGCGTCAGCGATAACGAGAGCTCTTCTTGCCATGAAGACCAAGAGACGACTAGGCCCTTAATTAACTATGAAGCCATAAGAGGCGCTGCCCTCGCTCTGTAAAGGAGGATTCTCTGATTGGACGAAAAATAAGGGAAGGAATTCAGTAAAGTTCATGGTCAGCAAATGTATTTAAGAGGCGGATTTTTCAAGATTCAAACACTCTCGATACAGTTCTTATTCAAATAAGAAGTGGAAGCCTCCTATTAATGTAGTTCTAGACAACTATAGTTACAAGTCCTATTGGCGGGAGACACATTCCCTTATCGAAGTCCGACGATAAGTGTCCAGTGACAGAGCCCTTGAAGAAAGAACAAGAAGGTCCCAAAATCAAGTATACCAGCAGTCTTCGTACGTAGTATCATTACTAAAATACTCACCATACTTTGAGAACCAGAGATTACGTCATCGACAAGCAACTAAGGACGAAGACTCTCCCCAGAACAATAGTGCGGAATAAATTCCAAACGCTTCGCCAAGTTCGCACCAGCTGAAGCACATCTTGTATTATGAATGTACGCAGCGCATCATTCAACGTTCATAACAGCCGCAACACGTAGCAGTATCCTCAAAATAAACAAATAAACAGCATATACATCAGTCATATTTTTATTGTATTATTTTAATATCCCTTCCACTTGTGACCTTTCATCGCTACCACACAACACCCGTGGTCTCTGATTTGTCAACGGTATCAATTTGTATCCCTCGAACCGACTTTGGTAAAACAAGCCGGAACGGCGAATACATTTTGAACAGTTTGCAACATATTTTATATTACATACACTTTTCAACCCTTAGGTGTTAGTACCTTATTCACTACTTATTTCTACGGTTGTGGTTCTAAATATTTGTGCTTATCTTCAAAGTAAAGGTAACTAACAGACCGTAAATTCCTTTATTTTATTTTTGTTCATAATGATTTTTGATTATACATTATTTTTTCAGATTTTAAGTCTTTCAGTGTTTTTTTAATTTCCTTCTGTCATTTTTTATTTTTCATTTTTTATTTTTAAATTTAATTTGAATGTACACATTAAAGCCTTATCATGTTATATTTTTATTTTGTGTTTAGTTTGTGGTTTGATTTATTTAAATTTCATTTATTAATTAAACGAGTTTTACTTTTGGTAGGAGAGGGCTTTCGAAGTTATACTAAAAACCGTTCTATACATCACTGTATGAGTTTATCACAGTTTCTTTCAATTTCTTGTGTAGTCTATGTGAGTGCATCTTAGAGAGTTTTGTATATTAATAGTTTTTCTGTAATGTATTAAGGAAAACTTACATATTTATTTGCTCGAGAATGCGAGAACATTTTCTTACCACAACTTCCCATGGTCGCTGGACATTCGAGATGTCTGGTGGAGATCTGGAAAACTCCAGTGAATATTAAGCTTATTTATTCTTGCTTATGTAAAAACGTGCTCATGCTTTTCCGGTGCAGTAAAAACTAATATGTTGTTTACTATTAAGAAGACGTAGATTCTGATAGAGTATCAGATATACGTAAAATATCGAGTACTTACATTTCCTAAATTTCGCTGCAACCCAAAACCCCGCACGTGCGACAACAAGCAATAGGTGTACGTGCGCACACGGCTTTTTCATACAATGCCTGCCTTGTTCTTAACTACGCCGCATCTAGTCGAGCCATAGTGATCTTCGTCTAGCCAAGTCCCAGAGAAGGGAGTGGTGACCAATAGTAAAACCTCCCCACTTTCCGACACTTTCCCGATTAGCATATTCGGGACTGAGCCCGGAAGGAAGTGGAAATGAAGCCGTGCATAATCCATTGTGCTGCCCAAGGTCAACCTCTTATTGGATAATTAAAAGAAAAAGGGATCCCAAATGGAACTGGGTCAATGAACTATTTAAGACGGGCAATGTAATGTACCACTGGATATTCCTACTCTTAGTCTTTTCCTAATTGAAAAGATAAGTCACGACTTACTCTCACGGAGGAGGACCAGAGACAAGGTCGTTCAGCTGAGTCTAGTAAAAGTTCTTTTTATTACTGTGATTCAATATACAGTCAATATTGATCTTATCAAGCTTTAGATAGCATAGGTTCTGAGATTCTTGTAATCTCATCTGGAAACAAGAAAGAACTTAAGAGCTGCAATTATCGAAAGGGAACTTCACATCAAGCCAACGAAGAGAGACTGGAAAATTAAAGATACACTGCAAGTAAGTCATTACTGCTAGTACTGAGGAAGAATCACGATACACTGCAAGTAAGTCCTTACCGCTGGTACTGTGGAAGAATCACGTTACACTGCAAGTAAGTTCTTACCGCTAGTACTGATTCTATATCTCTCGGGGTTACTCTGAAAACGGACGGCTGAAGTCTGATTAGTGAAGCTTCCCAGACATACTCTACAAAACAAGACCAGCTATAGACGCCACAGTGGCTTTTCATTTCCTCCAACGAACAGCAATTTGCGCCACACTGTAAGAGCACATCGCAGCAACGATCAATTGTTGACGCCACAGGTGGCGCACAGCTCAGCATAACCTCTATTTTAGGCTCTTACATGACCCATTATTTAGAAGCAACTGCACACGTGTTGTGTTGAATCACGACAAGATTGTCGTGTTCGATCAAAGCACTACAACGATCATAACCTCCAAAGTGACAATATTCAATAGATTATAACCTATTTCTTTTTACAGTAAATCACAATCTCATCAGTATATGCAGAGAATAAGAAATTGATTATCCTGTACTAAAAGATATATCTCATCGCCACAAGAGTATTAAGAAATATTAAGGTCATTTGTAATTTCACCATGGTTAATGATTCCAACTTGGAAATAAAGTGAAATAAATGGAATAAACAGCAATAATAAAGATATGTGTTAATTATTGAATCAGTGCATTAACCCTTTACTTGCCCAGCATTTCCCACACAACATCTAGTGGTTTTCTGTTCTGAGTTGATTTAGCACGTTTGGCTGACGAGTCAGATTTGTGGAATTATTTTTTGAACATTATTGAAAGGAGTACAATCATTTTTCACCATTTTTTAGGAGCTATTGTGATGGTATCTAAAGTTAATACTTTTTTATAAATTTAGAATGGAATATTGAATTACTGAAATATCTGCCAATTTGATTTATAAGATCAGAGCTTTTAATTTAAGAATGTTTCTCTATATACAGTCTAATGATAAGTATTTATTATTTATAAATCGATTGCAAAGTCTACTCTATTTAAATTAGTTTTAAATAAAGATAAATAGTTTTATTTAGTTTTAAAAATCTTGTATTACATGTAGTTGAAATTGTTTATATATATGTATATATATTTGTTATTGTTTATGTGTAATATTTGTTGTTGTTTAACCAGAAAATACATTTTTATATATTTTGTTGATAACTTATGTGAATTTACTTATATTTATGTTCTATTTTTTAATATTAATATTTTACGTTTTAGCATAAATAATAACATAATATATGAAACAACATATTAAATGTATAATTTCTTATATTTTAGGTACCTTGGGATGCATTAATTACATTAATGTCGCAATGTATTTATGGAGGAAAAATTGATAATGATTTTGATCAAAGATTATTAATGTCTTTTCTTCGAAAATTATTTACTTCAAGATCCTTTGAAGCTGATTTTGCACTTGTAGCAAATGTTGATGGAACATTAGGAAATCAACGACATATTACTATGCCAGATGGAACAAGAAGAGACCATTTTTTAAACTGGATTGAATCTTTATCTGATAAACAAACACCATCTTGGCTTGGATTACCAAATAATGCTGAAAAGGTCTTATTAACAACGAGAGGCACAGACTTAGTTTCAAAATTATTAAAAATGCAACAATTAGAAGATGAAGACGAATTAGCTTATAGTAATGATGAATCTTTGGATACTCATCCAGAAGCAGAACCCGATGGACGCCCTTCTTGGATGAAAACTTTATATAATTCAGCTTCAACGTGGTTACAATTATTACCTAAATGTTTAACTATTTTAAAAAGGACTGTAGATAATATTAAAGATCCCTTATATAGATATTTTGAAAGAGAAGTAAATAGTGGATCTAAGTTGTTGCAAGATGTAATACATGATTTGGAAGATGTAGTTTCAATTTGTCAGGTAATTTTTTGTCGCAGTATTAATATAATTTTTATACCATCAGTTTTTTATGGAAAAATGAATGATATCTCTCATAAATTTAATTCTAATTTGAAGTAAGAATCAAGTTCTTGTTAACTCATTAGTTGTAATTTATATAAAAACTTATATAATAATTTTAAAATAATGGCTAATATTTGATGCATACGTAACATTTTATATTGTAATAAATATAAAAATGATTTTAAAAATGAGGAATTAGTTTCTTTTTGTTTTCGATTCAATTTACTTTATTTGGACGCTTTTCAGAATGGAATAGAAAATATTGTTGCCCATTAGAGAAGAAATAAACTATGTTATTCAAAATGATGTTTTAATATTTACATTTTTTAACATGTTTCTCAAACTTAATTTTTTTATAATAAATATTGAATATAAGATATTCAAACAATTTACTTTAATGTCGGTTGGTGGTAATTGTAATATTAATTACTTTTAATGGATTTTCGGCTCATACTATTTCAATTAATTTATACTTTATTTCGATATTTAAAAATAAAACAATGTTGTAATTTACATGTAGTTCATTTAGAGAAATTAAAATATATTTTGACTAGAATGAAGGGCGTTAATATTATTTACTCAAATTATTAATTCTATTTATAAAATGTGAAAAACGATCAATTTATTTTTTAGTCACCAGTCTAAAGCTGATATCTAAATTACAATCCAAAACCAAATAAATTACAAATCGATTTATTGAAAAGTTTTTATTGATTTTAATATACATAAAACGTGATTTTAGTGCTAGCATTTAATTCTAGAAATTATAATTATGTATATTTATTATATTTAATAATTTCTACTTTTTATTCTAAATTAAAGCTATATGATATCTCATGATCAAATATAAATACTGAAAAGATTATTCATATTGACTGAACATATATTATTACACCAATTTTGAAAATGGACATTCCATAGATATTTCAATTTCTTATCTATCTAATCCATGCAAATCAAATATTTATTTTATGGAAATATCATCAGTTTAAAAAAAATACTTATAAATAGTTTAATTAGTTCAAAATTTATATAAAAATTAAATTTATTTATGTAAATTAAGATTATATTAATTATAAAGTAAGAGTTATATCAGAAGTATTGAACTGAACCATGAAAGGATATTTTTCGTAAGTATTAAATTTCAAAAATACGGCACAAATATAAATACAAAAATAAAATTGTAATAGATTGAATTTACTGTTAAATATAAAATTTTTTGAACTTTTATGAATATATTTGCAAAAATGTGTGAAAGCTACCACTAAAGCAAAACGTATCAAGATAATACAATGTCATCATTTTCAGTTGTAATTAGTATACTTGTAACAGTAGTAAGTTTATAAGATGAATACAGATAAATTATTCTTCTTCGATTGAAGATACCATTAGAGATGTTAAGCAAGATGTAACACTTCATTTGTATATGCGATGTACCAATATATCATGATACAATAATTAATTCAATAATAAAATAAAAGTAAAGAGCTAAAGTTTATCAATTGTGAAAAATGAACAATAAAACTTAGATGTTGAATGATAGTGATGACAAGTTACAAAACAAATTATTTTTTAAGCTTTTTCAAAGTTGGACGAAATTTCAATTAAAGTTTAACTATTATAAGATTTCTTCTAAACATTATCCTCCATCTTTAAAGGAATGAGAGTTTATATTATTAATTTTCAAATATTCTATAAGAAATTATAGAATTTATTTTCTATTTTTGTTTCCAAAAATGTTCAAATTGCAAAATTGAAGCTGAAGTGGAGAACATTTAATAGAGATTCTAGAAAATATGTTTAGAAACATACCAAATATTTTACCTAGTATATTGAAATTAATATCAATAACATCTGTAAATTAAGTAAAATAATTATAAATTTCTGAAACCTATTATACCGAAATATTTTAATAAAATTTAGAATTTGTATGAAACTGATTTCTTGGAATTATAAGCTATTGGAAAAGGTGGATAAAAATTTTTCAATTTAATGTAAGTTATACTAAAGTTCACAAGAGAAAATTTTAAAGATTATTTTACAATTTATTTTTAATTAATATGTTAATGTTTTAATCTTTGTTAATATAAAACATTACTTAATATAAAGTGAAAAATTTTAAAATATTAAAATTTCTCTCGGTGTACCTGAAATTGTTTGAACATTTTATTTTGTATATACCAATGAATTATAATAAAATATCTTTTAATCTTCTAAACTGGAATTGAGTTTATAAAAAAAAGTGATTTAAAGAAGGACAATAAAGAACTTAACGTATTATTTTTATTATTATTATTAAAAATTATAACCCCTGAATAGAATGCACTTTCTGCAATTATCCGCTTATTAATTTAAAAAAAAATTGATCATTTGTCTAATCAATAATTCAATATTATTTATTGAATAATTACTTTTGTAGTATTTAGTATGTATAATTTATTGTAGCAAATAATAAAACTCAACGCTTTAACCAATGTAAATAAAATGAATTTTGGTTTTTAAATTTGAAATAAATAAGAAATATATACATAATAAATGTGATCGTGCTAAGTTTTATTTTATCTATCACCTACTCGTAACGCTCGTAAAAATATAGCAAAATTAATAATGATTTGTTGTTTAGCGATTAAATTATTATGCGTTATAAGTCTTATTTAGTTTATCTGTTGAATTTATATCACTGATATAGAGATGTAGTCATTTGCGAGGCTCGCATACTAATTGGAAAGAATTATATAGTACAATTTTATCTTTGGAATATTTAATTTTACTGCGCATAAATAAATAGGATATCCTATTTTGTTCATAAACGTATTTTTCAAAATTTGACATTTAAATACAAGTTATTTTGCAGAATTACAAAAAAGATATAGTTTTAGTCTTTCAATTATTTATAATATATTATATAGTATATCATCTCAATATTCTTTAATTTAGATTCCTTCTAATAATATACATATTATATCACTACTTTCTTCCTGTAAATAGAATATAGATATCCATTTATTCTTTAACATATTTTTAATTTGTTTATTTGTTGTCTACATTTACTAGCATTAACATGTGATATTTTATCAATTGTATCAAAAATTAGTTTCAGTATATTTTTTCATTTGTGTTTTATTTCCTTATGTTGCTCATAATTATTTCGATATTATATATAAGTAGACACAATGTAGATTAACCTACATTTTTGTAACTATATTATATTAAGATACAACTAAACGTTTTCTACGCAACGTTTAATAATTACTCTTATAAATTAATGTTTTATTACTAATATTTAACTTAAACATTACATTTTCATATTTAGAAAACTTTGTACTTGAGATACGAAATAAAGAATAAAATAACATGTAATCCTAAAAAGTAATATATTTATATTGCATTTTTATAATATTTTTAGGGAGAAAAAAAGCAAACAAATTATCATAGAACAATACTATCTGAATTAATAAAAGGTATTTTACCTGTCGGATGGAGGCGCTACACAGTTCCACGAGGATGTACTGTAATTCAATGGATAACAGATTTTAGTCACAGAGTTTCACAATTACAAGAAGTGTCAAGATTAGTTTCACAAAATGGCGCTAAAGAAATAAAGGTAAAAATAAAATATCAGTGATACTGTTGTTTGCATTGAATTTTGTATTACATTTATTATGTTGTCCTTACTTAAAAAAACTTATTTAAAAAACTATTTTAAAAAGTACACTGTTTAAAAAGCTACATAATTATATAACATAATAAATCTGTCGTCGTTCTCAATAAAAAATTTGTTATTTAACTAAATTAAGTAATGTCTTGTCTGTTTTTAATTATATTTTATTCTTGTCAAGCAAAATTTGTATTAACTTATTTGTACTAAGACTCAACATAATACATATTTATTATATAGTGATGATTTATTTTGTTTCATTACTGGCTTCATTTTGTTGAAATTAGGGTATACCTTTCTACATGATTCTTTTCATTATTATTTTGTCTTATCTTTAGTATGTATATTTTATTTTTTATATAAACCTATATAATCAACTTCATGAATTTATTATTTTTTAAAGTTAAAATGTTTTACAACTATTTATATATCGAATATTTAATACAAGCATATAATTTTGCATGTGTTAATTAACGTTAGCTTAACTAAATATATTAATACGTAATAATTTATTAATTTTTACAGAGCTTTCCTGTGTGGCTTGGTGGATTATTTAATCCAGAGGCTTATATTACAGCAACGAGACAATGTATTGCACAAGCGAATAGTTGGTCCTTAGAAGAACTACAATTAGATGTTTCGATATCTAATGAAAATAATATGTGTGATGACTGCTCGTTTGCAGTAACTGGTTTAAAACTACAAGGAGCCCAATGTAAAAATAACCAATTGTATTTAGCATCAACTATAATGACAGATTTGCATGTTACTATGTTACGATGGGTGCGTTTTTCTTCTACGGAGTCGAAAAATAAACTTGCTTTGCCAGTTTATTTAAATAGTACTAGAACAGAGCTACTTTTTACAATTGACTTAAATATAGCACCTAGTCAAGATCCACATAGTTTTTATGAAAGAGGAGTAGCAATTTTAACTTCAACTGCTCTAAACTGATGTTTCAAAATCGTATCTACTGTTCTTATTCATAGTGATATTAAAATTAAATGTAAAAATAACTATATCACACTTTACGAAAACGTGCTTTTAAAAAATAAAATATTAAAATATATATTAAATATTTATTATTTCTTTTATTACATTTGTATCTTTATTATTATTTATTATTTTTTTATTTATAAGATGTCTGCTATTTTTGCTTAGTATATTTCTTATTGTATTATGATGATTGATGTTTTCTATTTATTATAAATATTTATTATAGAATATAATTATATCATATATGTTGTAAAATTATTTAATAAGATTAGCCATGTATTCATATTTGAAAAATAAGAATTCTATAATAAAAGATGAAACAATATTTCACTTAATCAAATAAATTAAAAAATTATGATTACCCTTAAATTATACTATGTGTATTTGAATTTTCATATATTTAGTTATTACATATTTGGAAAATTTGTTAAATATTTATGTTAATATTGTTCAGGATTGAAAAAATTTCCAAGACCGTTGGCTCTCGGTTTTGTTAATCCTTCTAGTTCTCGAATTTCTGTAAACATTTGGGTATAAGAAATCTCGAATTTTATAATGTTTTGTTATCAAACGTCCGTACAATGTTTATTTGTCTTCCGCATAGCAACGTCGATTGGAATTCTACCTTCTACAGTTTTGCATAGCAACATCTATCCATTGTTGCTGTACAAAATGCAACTCGTCGTTCCGACTTGTTTTATCAAGGCCGATTCGACGGATACAATTTGATGCCGTTGATAACTCAGAGACCACGGATGTTGTGTGGTAGCGATGACAGGTCACAAGTGGAAGGGATATTATAATAATACAATATAAATATGGCTGATGTATATGCTGTTTATTCTGTTATTTATTGATGACAAGGTTGACTAGTATTACTATTATAACTTGTAGAACTAAATTCTTGGATTGAGGTGATGTGTTGCGGAGATAACTGTACAATAATCTATGCAGCTTGATTGTTGAATACGAATGGCGAATGGCGCGCAGTTTCGTTCGTCGACACTAGCGCCTTTTGAATGAGCACGTGTGTGGTTGAGGTTATGATTGCAGCTTTATGATTGAAAGATAATGCAAAGTGGCGCGAAACTGGATTTATCGACACTTGCGCTGGGTTTTGCTTACTTTCGTAAGCTTCCGAACTTGAACTAAGGTGAGGGTAACTAAAGTGAGACGCCCCTGGCGAGCGCAAAAACTGGACGACGCGTACTGAAATTTATTCCGCACTGTCGTATTAGGAGTAGCTTCCTCGTCCTTAGTACTTGTTGCTGTAATACTCTGAATCTCAATATATATAATTATTGTAGTAGATACTACTTACAAAGACTAATCGTTGACTCGTCTTCGGACTCTGATACGCGGATTGTTGTCGCTCCCTTGGAACATGTAACGACGGTTTCTTGAACTGCGTTAGTGGACATACGGGCTTATGTCGTCATTCTTCCGGGACTTGTAACTACTGATCCAGTATCAGTGTTAATGGACAATCCGAAGAAGTGTAAGTTGTTTCCCGCAATAGAGTTAAATCGACTTTCACTAAATTTAACTGAGTATGAAATGTCTCAAGGGTTTAATATATTGAGAGAGTATTACTAAACGAGAGATATAAAAAAAAAGAGAGACACTTCAAGAAAGAGTAATATCACGAAAATATTACTAAAGAACACTATCAAGAGTAAATATCAAGACAGTTAAATATCACGAATGATATCGATTAAGAGAGTTAAGTATCAAGAGTAAGTGAGTATTGAAAATTGCGCCCCTTAAATATATTTGCTGACCATGAATTTGACTTGAATCCCTTCCCTTATTTTTCGTCCAATCAGAGACTCCTCCCTTTCAGTGCGAGGACAGCGCCTCTTGTAGCTTCAGAGCTAATTAAGGGCCTAGTCGTCTCTTGGTCTTCATTACAAGAAGAAGAAAAGGGGGGGGGGCATCGCTGACACATCTGGTGAGAACATTGCAACTTGTTGACAGCGGGAAGGGGAAGAAAGGTCCGCTTGCAGTAATGCTTGAGGTAGTTACAGAGCGGAACGAAAATGCAGATGTCTAAACTATAGGTTTTCCCGTGTTTATGGTATTGTTTTTCCAGATGTTTTATGACACTAGTGCTTGATAATTTTGAGCAAGCGAAGTTTTGAAATCCAAATACAAATTTTACGATGCTACTTGCCAGATGTTTTATTGCACTGACAAAAAGGAAAAAATGTTCTCGCATTCTCGAACAGTTGCCATCTACCTAAACATTCGCGTGGATATATAAGACAATCACGCGACTAGTGTTGTTCTCTCATAGCAAAGACGCCACTACACGGAACACTATCTGTCTTAGCAGAATCATCGCCAGGAACAGGAGCTCTCTATAAGCCCAGCTATCACGGAGTGTATACGCCTTCCGCTTCGTGTGCGTATTTAACCGACTATTATCATCTGAATCGTCAGGGAGAGTACACGCTATCAATTGTACAAACACTTGACAACACCTGCAAGGAGCATCGCAGCACCCTCCACTATAAATTAAGCGAATCTCACGCATCTTGATCGATGACACTCTCCGTCTCCAACTTACACCAGTAAGTCCAAAGAACATATAAGGCATTCACAAGTAATCACTAACATGATCAATACGCACAATTTCCGCACCCTACGCAACCCTGCTTTGCGGTGCAACCCTCGCAGCACCATTACGCATTTGCGATGCAAATACAATTTCTGCACCATACGCAATAGTGTTGCGTTGCACCCACATACTCTTATACTTCATAAGACACTACAAGTACCACTATACCAAGAAATAGAAAGATTTAGGACCTCTCATTTCTAAGTGTAGTAACCCACCACCAATCGCACTACGTCAAGAGGATCCGGAGATTTACAACCTCCTACCTCTACATGTAGTGCGTGTTACCACTAAGTGGAAATCACCAAGGAACTACAAGGATCACAACAACACTCATTATCAACTGAGAATCATTATTACAGTGTAATTGTAAATAAACGCAACAAACAGCACGAAAAATAGACCTGTTAATTACTGAATAAAGCGCTTATACTTATCCCTCCTTTCTCCCACTAGTAAACTGGTGGTCATACTGGAATTTTGAACAAATATTTATATTAATATTTAATATTAAAATATGTAAAGTCGTTTTCTTTCAAAATAATTTTGGTTTCGATTTAGTTTTTTATTTCCATTTTCGAGCATTTACATTTTTTAATGCTCGTATTAAAATGAACAAAAATTAAAATAAATAATAACTCATCTTTAAATTAATACATGTCTACTGTTCCAATATACTGATAAGAATTAATCACATTTCATACATGCCAAATTTATCTGTTAATTATGTTGAAAATAAGAAATATATTTTCAGTATATGAAACAAAATAAATATAAATGTTAATATAAATATTTGTATTTAAATTTCAAATACTATTTTGATGAAAATAATCTTAAATTATTATTTTTTATATTTTATTATATTTTTATTTTAAATTTTTAATTATGTATATTTTACATATTTCTCAATTTGATTGGTGCAATACCCATAGTGATTGGTTAGTATAAAACCGCACAGGCTTTAGCCCATATGTAATTATTTCATATGGCTTTTAAAGGAATGCAATAATATAACGAATTTTATTTACGAATTTTAGTTGTTCTATTTGTCGGACATATATAATCTAAAGTACTGTACTGAAAAACTATTGGCATTTAAATACAAATAATATTGATTAGAATATTAGAATTAATAAATATGTAACAAATAATGTTTAAAATATTTAATATACTTTAAAATTCATAAAATTATCTTATTTATTTTTATCATTAAATGAAGATTTTATTTTAATACATTTAAAATAATGAAAATCATTTTTACTTTGTCTAAAATCACAGGATTTATTTTAAACTAAATAAAATTTTATATTAAATTTTTAGGAATTTGTAAAAGCCAATAAGTTTTGATCTCTATTGCGCATGTCTCGTTTTTCGACTTTGATTTCATGTATTATTGTAGTTTGGGATACTGAGAATTTATAATTTTCGTTAGTTACATTTTAATTTTATAGAAAAATAATTTAGAATGCCAAATCGACCTGAACATTTGGGACCTCCTGAATTAGTATGTGAATTTCTGTATATGGAGGATAGCAATATTTGTATCAAATATTGAAATTTTATTTTAATCAAGTGATCATGTATATTTTAAACAAACATTTAATTATGTATTGTTAAAATTTAAATATAAATTTATATACACATTTAAACATAATTTAAATATACATTTATTATTTATATATCCTTTAAATTTTGTATTTTTTATAATAATGAAATTTTATAATATGTTAAATATTTATATTATATTTATATTTATATTATAAATCTTTATAATTATAATATGTATAATGTTTAAAATATTTAACAATATTCTTATGACAGTTAATACATTAAATCAATAAATAATTGGATATAACTTACCAAAGAATATTTTACTTATAGTAATATATAATAAAAATACTTTTATATAATCATTCAGTACTAAATTTTATAAATTTTTTTTTTTTAAATATCCTTTTAATCTATCATTACTTGACACAATATTTTATATTACTTTATAATCAAATTTTTAATATATTTAAATTTTATTAAATAAGATTTTTATAAATTTGTATAATGTTCTTATCTAGTCTACTTATTTAGAATTCCTCATGATTATTAATTAAATTAATAAACTTAATTACCCTTTGTAATAATAAAAATCATATAAATTTACTATTTAATTTAACTTTAACAATATATAAAGATGAATGTTATTTTTATTTAATATAAAATTTATAAATAAAAATTATTTGGCAAAATATATAAAATTGATTGCACTATTAAAATAAATCATATTTTTATATTGTTATTTTAAAATTAGTTTTTCTAATTTATCATTGCTTATATTTTTGTGTTTTTTGTATTGTATTTAATATTTTATTTTTATACAATATTGTTTTCAAGGTATTTATTTTTAAATAAAGAATTTAGTTTATTAACATATTTTTAAAAGTTTTTACTGTATCAATGATGTAAGAAAATTTTATATATTTATAAAATACATAGTTTTTTCTGGAGTTTTAATAATTATATAGTAGACTTTTGACTTTAAGAAAAAAATTAGATTAGAATGATATATAAATGTATAATTATATAGTTATATATATTTATTTTGTTTGTAGCTAAGAATTTACATAATAAACTACACTTTTAATTATATGTGAAATTTGTAATAATAGAAAATAAACATATATATATTTAATTATAGCTTGGATAAATTTATATAAATAATTCTTAACAATGATAATTATTAAATCTTAGTATTATGATTATTCTTTTGTTATTTGTTTTAAATATTATAATTTTGTTAATTGTTTTAAAGATTATTCTTATAATTGCAACATTTTTAAAAGTATTGCTATTTTTTAAGTTTTTTTGTTAGTTTAACAACTAAATATAAGCATTTTATTGCATACATATATGCATTGCTAAAAGTATTTCTAAAAAGAATTATAAAATATTTGTTATTTATAAGTAACATATATATAATTTTATAGTTGTAATTGTTTTTATATATAAATATATAATTACATGATATAGTAGTCTAAAATTGTAACTTTGTACTCTTTGTTTATATATTTACTTTCTTTTATGTTTTTATTATTATTTCTGATAGTTTAAAAAAAATACATCCTAACCAAATATGAAATACATACGTGAAGATTTAATTACAAGAACGATAACAGATCTCATAATTTGTAATAGCTTACAAATAATATAAGCAATAAGATGGAATTTAAAAAATTTGTTCTCTCATAAATATAGTAGAAATTAAGTGTTAGCTTTACATGTATTTTTATTAACAATAAAGATTTACAGTAGTAAATGAATATAAAACTTGTGTAGAATAATATAAATTTTATAAAATATGAATCTTATAATAACTTAACTAATATTATATGAATTTAAATACAAAACTTTTAAGAAATTTTTTAATTAAATTATTTTATTATATTATAAATATTTAAAATTATAACTGAATTAAAATATTTTTTTCAGTTTTACAATGATGTAGAAGCAGTCAAATATACCAATAAGTAAGAAAAAAAGAAAATATCAACCATAATTTAAAATTATAATTTTTTATTTCAAGTATATTACATTGGAAAGTACCAACAATTTGCATAATTCTATCAGTAAAATTAAATTAAATTTCTATCTTTAATTTAAATCTTCTTTATTCATTGTAATATATTGTATAGAAATATATTATAATTAAATATTTTAACAACTTTATATCTATATAGGCATTATAATTGAAGAATACATTAATTAATTTATGAATTTATTTCAATGTCAATCAAACATGAAAAATAAGTAAATTTTAAGCTATTCCGATAGAATATATCAAAAATAAAATAAATATAGAAATCTGAGAATCAGAATATGATTGTTATATATTAAAAATGTACATGTTAATTGCATAAGAAAAATGTGAAGAATATAGAAGTATTTCAATTTAATCGACATTTAAAAGTATAACTACTTAATTACGCACAGGTAACTGAGGTTTTGATGTCATCAATAGCTTAAAAGAAATACAATTATTTGTAGGTATAAATTTAAATAGAACTATTATGAATAAATTAAGTAATGAAATTATCAAATAGTTTTAATTTATCCATTATTGTAATGATATTAAATTTCTATATAAATATTTTCATATTATTTAATATGCTAGATTTACTAGTAACAGTAGAGATTTTTCATTTAAAATTATCATAAGCCATAGTTTGGAGCAAGCTATGATTTTGTTGTAAAAAATGTAAATGTCAATAATCAATTCACAATTTAATATTGGAAAAAAAGAGTTTCAGGTAGATATAGAATACCTTTTATAACATGGTTTGGGAAGGCTTATTATAAAGTTGCTATTTCTACAACACTTTTAACTTGTTAAAAATAATATTGTTTTTAATTTACTAATAATATTAAAACTAATTAGCACTTCATTTGTTAGAGTATTAGAATATTCAGTTTTTAAAACCTGGATTAGTCTTATTGCTAAGATTGATTTATAAATTTAAGAAACATTGCTTCATAAGTTCTACCATTAATTCTTGATTAATTATTAATTTCGTATGTTGGTTATCTTCAATCGTTATTATTTTTTTTTTTTATAGCCAGTAAGTGATAAGTATTAGAATTAAAATTTAATCTTTTTATTTAATGTTATGTTGTTTTAAACTATTTTGTTTTATTAATTATTTTTTAAGTGAAAATTGATAGTAATATTATGGATCCATTTAATAATTATTGGAAATATTTATCAGACACAAGGATATTTTTGTTTATGACGTATTATTTTATAATAATTTCATTATTTTAAAGGTTAAAGTAAAATAAAAATGGTCCAATTTAGAAAAATTGATTGTTCAATAATATAGCAATATATTTCATGAATAATTGGAAAGAATAAAAAAAAGATAACTGCTTATTTCAATAATTATTTGAAGGTCTATAAATGTATATGATATTAAAGACAAATATATTGATGTTGATAGTAGAAGAGTAATAAAACTTTAAATTCTAAATTTAATATTCCAGTGTGTTACAAAAAAAAGCATTAATATGCATAATTATATAAAAAGCTTGGTTTTATATTTCAAATAAAAGATAGCCAATAAGTAAACTTTTGTATAAGTTAATAATTTTATGGAAGAAATGAAAATCCATATTTAACCTATGTTTAGAATGCTTTTTTTTCAAAGATCATTGCAATTTAATGATAATCGGAATTTGTATTTGATTTCGCGAAATACGTATTTGTTTAATCAAATAACTATTTATGAATAATTTTATTTTTATAAGTTTGGTTGGACACGATTTGTAAACCAGAAAAGATGATTGTAATTGTGTATATAATAATAATTAATGAGCAATATAGTAATAGAAGAAATTATTGTGAGAATTGGGATAAATAGACAATAACTTACAATTAAACTTTTTTAATTATGAAAATAATTCAAAGCTATATAACATAGCAGACTATGGAGCACATCAAATTCGAAAAAATATTTTTACATTCAAAATTATGAACAAAACATAAAAATACATAAATATAAAGAAATTAAATTTCTTAATTGAAAAGTTCATTAAAAAGTAGATTAATTTTTATTATATTGAGAAAAGCAGCTTAATCCTCTTGAAATATAGCATATTACAGGAAAAATGATGAAAGTAAAATAAAAAATTCTTTATTTCCAACAAACTTATAAATTTTTATTAGACAGTTTTATAGTATAGCGAGTAATTTATGATAATCCGTATGTGGTTGGATTGTAAAGTTTGGTGATTTTTCTATAATCTAAAATTAAATAATGTAAATCATTCTTTATAATATTTTGATGTAATATGAAAAGAAATTATTGATAAGAATAAAAATTAATAATTTACAAAAATATCTACTTAATATTTGGTTTAAATTAAATTTATAATGAAAAACGTGAAAAAAATTATATATTTAAAATTGTATTAATATTTTAAAAATTTTCCAAATTTATTTTAATTATTTTAGCTCTCGAATTATAGATATTCAAATGAGAATGAGTGAACGAGCTTTCGAATTATTATTACTACCTAAAGATAAAGTGTGCTTATTATTAGATATTGGATGTGGATCTGGTCTAAGCGGAAGTGTATTAGAGAATAAAGGACACTATTGGCTTGGAATAGATATTTCATCTGCAATGTTAAGTATGATAAATATGTTGATGTTAATATATCTGTTTTTATATTAATTATTATAATAGAAATCGTAGTACAAGAGTTTTAATTTTAAATTTACAAAAGTTTACAACATAATAGATGTACTTTACCACTTTATTTAAAATATAAAAAAAATATATTATTATTATAGATTAGAAAGTGTACTTTCAAAACAATGAATCTAATGTTAATGACATATTAATGCAAACAAATAATATATATGAATACAAGAATTTGCATCTTTTCAGATATAGGTGTTCATCGTAAAATTATTGGTGATACAATGCTAGTGGATATGGGACAAGGCATGCCATTCAAAACAGCTAGTTTTGATGGAGCTATTAGTATTTCTGCTTTGCAGTGGCTTTGTAATATTGACAATAATAAATATGTCTTACGTAAGCGATTAGATATATTTTTTAGTACACTTTTTGCTACTTTATCAAGATCTGCTCGAGCAGTTTTTCAATTTTATCCTGAAAATGATGATCAAATTAATATAATCACGACAGCTGCTACAAGAGCAGGATTTTTTGGTGGGATAATGATTGATTTTCCAAATAGTAAAAGTGCTAAAAAAGTATTTCTTGTCATAATGACTAGTACTTCTATGATTTCACCAGAATATTCACGGAAAGATCATGTTATTACAAAAACACTGACTACAAGGTACAATAAAATTAATTATCTGTATATATGTATATGTAATTAAAACACAAACTTATTTTAATACATATAATTCTTTTTAGAAAGCGAACGAATAAAACAATGATTACTAAATTAAGAAAAAATCGTATTTTAGAAAAGAAAGAAAGAAATCGAAGAAAAGGAAAATTTGTTAAAACTGATTCAAAATACAGTGGGCGTAAAAGAAAAAACCAATTTTAAATTTATTATAAAGAATTGAAATTATATTGTAATAAACTAAAAATAACAAAATTATGAATCAATTTATAAAATCATTTAAATTTCTAAAGTTTAATCTTATACGTATTTTATATAAAGGTGAGAACTACGAAATAAGGAAGAGGTGATATTAAATTTTAATGAATGATATAATGACAATACTAAACTATTTGTTTGTTATTTTTATAAAATTATTTTATATTATATTCAATTAAGATTTTCATTTTTAAGCAATTTTTTTTAAACAATCATAATATGTATGTATTCTGCAAAAAAGTAGAAGCTTTTGACAATTTTTAATAAGATATAACTAATATAATTTAAAAAACAATTAATGAACCGTAATATAAATAATTTACGTAGGTATTAGTATATGTTGTATCGACATAAAAATTTATCTGTAAAATTAATACATTTTATATTATTTTAAAATAATTAAATCTCATTAAAAAATATTTTGCTTATAAATATTGAATTTCTAATTGAATTATTAAATAAATATTAAGTAACTCACTTATTTGATCAAGTTCTTAAATTAATGGAAGTATCATTCCACTGAAGTAGATACGTTAAATTAATTTGATAATAAAAAATATAAAATAGAATATCAATTAAATGTTTAGTCATTCTTAAAAATTTATAATATTTAGAAAACATACAATATATCGTAAGGTTTTGAAAATAGAATATTAAAAAAAAAATTTATCTTGTTGCAAGTCACTATAGTTGAAAAGTTTTCAATAATTTAAGCTCTAATTTCACATGAAATTCTGGAATAATCATCTAATACTTATGTATTAATTCATAAATATTAAAAATGTATAATGCAGCATCTGAGTTAATTTTCATTTTTCTTTACATTTATTTGCATAGTTTTAAAATTTAGATTATGAGTGGCTCTTTATTCCTTAAAATTGACGAAAACTTAGAATGATACACACAGATGCAATTCAAAGTATGTATTGCATTTCCAAGTCGCAATATTTTGTTAAAATTGAATTATTCACCTTTATCGTTATATCGAATGAAGAATTTGTACATTGATTATTTTCCTTAATCATTCATCACTAAGATAGTATTATCATTAAGAATCACAGTGTTATTTTATTTGAAGTAAATAATATGTTACTCCTATGGTTTAAATCTGGGGTTTTTATTTTGAAGGGAAATTATATTATTTTAAACAGTAATATATTCTCTTTAGAGATATATGCATAATATCTTAACTATAAAATATTTAGAAAATAATTATTGTATGAATCTTAATATCCATGAAAAATGAATAAATATTTAATTTAATATATATTTATAAAATAATTTGTTGATGTATGGCAATTCAATGAGTTCAAATTGATGTCTTTATGATTAAATAAAATTATTAGAAAGTATATATTTAATTGTACTATATTTATCCACAATTTTTATTCTAATTTAAATTTTACAGTTTTTCTTCTATGTAATTTTTTATAACAAACATATGTATATGTATTTATATATATTATAAGCAAAATATAATACATGTACAAATATGGATAAAAATATTAATAAATTTTTTTTTGAGTTTTTTATTCAATTTTGTAGCTAATTCTATTAAGTTATATAAGAATAATTAATATGGATTATGTCGTGAATGAGGTATTTTGTAAAGTTATTGTTAATTAATTGATATAAATAAAAATGGTTTGATTAGGATATTTTTTACTATTTTCTGTGTGTGATATAATAAACAGTTTTAAATAAATTATAACTATTATAAGCATATTAAATTTACCGATATATAATATTTTTATTTACTCAAACATAATTTAGTATATCTAAATGTTATACATATAAATCATTGTATTATATATTTTTATTTAAATTCATTGAATATAAATTTCACAATGCAGATTATTTATTTTTTGTAACATATAAAGTTATCAATCTTTTTATATTTATTACTTTCACCAATTTTCCAGTTATAAATTTCTTTCGTTAGAAGTTTGGGAATTTTTTATTCTTTCCAACTGGGAATACTTATTTTACAATACTCGTAGAGATATTTAATTATAGCTTAAACTGCGGGCCTGTCTGGTATCAGACTAAAAATCTCCTTTGATGGTGGGTGGAGGTGTTGATGGCAAGTGAAGGGACAGTGCAATGATTCATAACTACCTTTAATGTTCATCTTTGTTTCTTTATTAAATATAATAATAATAAATAATTAATTATGAAGTATAAATAATATAATAGATTAAATATAAAGTTTCCTTTATTGTTATGTATTATGAATGTATTCTTCCTTTGTTGTATAATGAATATATGCTATCTTAGCATACATTAATTTTTTGATGTTTGTGTTATACTTTGGTGCCGCGCCTATGATACGTCGGTCTTATCTATAATATGTTTTAATAGTGATATGATTAATGCCGAGCTTTTATTACATCGGCATTGTCTTATGTATGAGTTGCTTCAATATATTTTATGTTTTCACTATTGTTTTATGGTCACTAATATATTATTAATAATTTTAGAATAAATGTCACTATTTCTTTCGTAGATTATTACTTAATTGATTATTAATTATATATTATTAAACTGTTGTTCCTGTAGATGCGGTCGAAAATATATATAGTGAGTTTTATAATGAATGTGTAATGGTTAATAGACTGAGGCAAACTGAACTGCTGCGCGTGAAGCGCAGCCCTTAAATATTATCGCACTAATTCTCCAAAGCTAAGCTCTAAAGAGCATGCACAATTCATTGTTGATCCTTACAAGATCAGCAACAATATCGTCATCATCACCAAGGAACACCTGCATCATTGCGAAGGAACAGAATTCACACTCTCCAAAGAGATCAATAATATAATTGTTAAATAAACTATATGTTAACGAAGTCTGCACTCACTGTATATTTCTACAGCCCTTCTACTTAACTCCTTCCTAAGCATCCGCTAGGGCAGGCGGCAAATAATTATAAAGCTATCGAAATATTGGCAGTTCGAGCCAGGGAATCAAATAGTTTAGAAAATGTACTAATTTTTAATTTTTGTTTTATACATTGTTTCTGTAGAATATAAGGAAAAGAAAAAATCATTTTTATGTAAATTTAAACAATACAATGAACTATAATTTCTATATTAATGTATAAAAAAATCTGCAATATTTGTAAAATATTTACGCTGCTAATTAGCTAATACATAATTTATACAAATTTATTCCAAACAATTGCATTACTTTTTGCTTTTTGAATGCACACAAATCATTTATGTATTGTTATCAGTACTTACTCATTTTTGTTAATATCGACTAAAAATTTAAAGGCACATCCTGCTATATATTTTTAATAGTTGTACTAATTGTAAGTTGCGCAATATGTAATGGTCTTGAAATTATAATTCTTCATGTATAGTTATAATTTTATAATCGCTGATATCCTAGCAAGTTATTATTGTTTAATAAAACCGAGAATTAACTTATTTCAGTGTGTACTTATTGTCAATAATTGATAAATATTCTTCAAGTTGACAAATTTTTGCTATTAACATTATGAATGTTTTTATAAATACTGAAATACCAAACACTGAAACACTTTACAAATACTGAAAACACCAATAATTTAATAGTATTGAAAAATTATTCTATCGTAGTTGATTTGTATACATTCTCTAGTTAAGGCTTATAAGTTAATTTGTAAGTGTGAAATATTTGGAATAATTCCTTTACAAAAATGCTATCAAAGATAAGTGCATCTTATCAGGGATGCGGATAAAGTTTTTATGATTATTTTGTTAAATATCTTTAAATAAATATCTTTCTATTGATGTGGCAGTTATTACAGACATTGTTTGGCAATGATTTGTTATATAAATGAATTGTAATATCTAATAGTATTTTTGTATTTGATACTATATTCATATATATTTAATGTTAATTTAATTTCTCAAAGATATGTAAAAATAATGTTTATATCGAACAGTTGGATTATATTAATAATGTTTTATATTTAATATTATATAATTTTTCATTGATATATTTTCATAAGATTTTTTGTTGATAATTGAAGTATTTAAAAAATATAGATTTATATTAAAACAATTTATGAAAATTGTAATATACTGTAAACCATATTTATTTTAGACTCATGTTAGTAAAAATGTAAATTTAATTTTGTTTCATTTCATATGGAACGAATATGAGTTATTCTCATTGTTGTCTCAAGGTATTGGTAGTGATTTATTTGATTTCGAGTTCAAAATGGAAATGAGCGGTACGCGTTTTAAATCATTACAATATATAAAATAAAAACCTAATGTACTGTATCAACGGGTCTTCAAATTTATCTTATTCCCTTTATTTTTTGTACTTTTCAATTCTTTATATATAAATTAGTATTTAAATTAGACAAATAATATTTGTTTAAATACATAATTAAAAGCATATTAAATACTATTTTCCCATTTAATATAGGATTTTTTAAATTTATATCTTACAATAATTAAAATATTTTCATATGATATTTTAGCATTAACACATTATACTTTATTTTGAAAGTTAATTAATGCGCGTTCGGTATAACCTAAATTAACCATATTGATAATTCGACATTTTGTATTAAATTTTCAAAGAACAAAAGAATGCTTGTTTTATTGGATACGTGTTTGTGTTTAGTTTTAAAATAGTTGTATTTAGTGATTATTCATTGTAATAATAATTGTGTGTGGTTTCTAGAAGAGAAAGTAAAAACTTTATAGTTGCAAATCGGAAATTTGGTATGAATAAAATATTGTTACAATTTATATATAGGTTAGATACAAAAATCTTTAATTTATTCTTTATATATATTATGTTTAGAATAATAGAATATATAATTTATATATAAAGAAAGCAAATATATTTAAAACGATGACTTTTAATTATATTATAAAATTAATATTAAACTTTATATTACATTATTATTTTATTTAGCAATATCATTTTATAATAATAATTAGGTTATTAAATTGATTAAATATTGTTATTACATGAATAATGATCTCAGCAATAATCTGAAATAATATATTATTGTTATATATTTGATCAAATAATGCTTTAATTTTATTTTTTAAATGGCAATTTTATTTTACTATAGAATTGTAAAGTAGAGGAGTTTAATTTTGTATAATTTAAAATATATTTTATTATTGTACGATTATATGGAAATATTAAAATTTTACAATAAAATATAAGATTTATTTATTGTCTTTATTGTAAATATTAAATATGTTTATTTTTTATTCACTAATTTATATTTATACACAATTTTTTATTAGAGGTAGAATATGAAGTTTACAATTTAAAAGTAATAAAAGAAGTTGTAATTAAAGCTAAATAAATATATTTTTTGTAGAAAAGATTTTTTTTATTTATTTATATCAAATCCACATTGTAATAAAGAATCTGATGTTTTACCAATTAAAGCATATTCTAACATTATTATTTTAATATTAACTATTATTAATAAATACAATTTATTTGTTTAAATAGTAAAAATTGAAATTCCAAATTTGTATGAGATTAAGAATTTTTTAATATTAAATAAATTAAATTTATTATAGATGTTTTGCTATTATATATAAACGGTTTCATACTGTAATAACAAAAGTAGATTTTAAGGATTGAAAAATGTAATATTAATTGTAGTACCTTGATAAAAAACTTATACAGTAATTAAAACTATACAAACATTTGGAAGTACATTTAACATTTTTAGAATGAAAATTTTAGTTTTATTTTTCAGCATTGTATTTCAAAAATAATTTTTATTATTAATGAAAACACATTTATGTATTAAGTAGTAAGTTTTACTTTGCATTTAAAATTTTAATAAATGTACAACATTAATGAATATTATTGTTAAAGGTTTTATTGTATTTAAATGAAAGGACTTAATTTATTTTTTCAATTCTTCTATTTGATGATCGTAATTATTAGGTAAAAGTAATACCTATATTAGCAATAATATATATGCATGAGATATGCTGATGCTATATAATTATAAGGTATAATTATATGATATATTTAAGATTTATATAGTTACAGGTAAATTATCTGTATATTTAATTAATTAGTCGATACAACTGTCAACAACTTATAGGTAATAAGATGGTTAAATGTAATTGTTGACTTTTGTACATTTATTAAAATTAATTTGATATGAACTTTCAATTACCAGAATTTAGATATTCTGAGTTTACAATAATCATATAACAATTTAAAATAATATTAAATATTGAAACAATGTATGATGGATTGATGGATGATGTATTTATTAAAGAGGATCCATAGCGAAAGGGCTCTTCAGTAAGACGAAGGATCTAAAAAAAAATAAAAAAGAAACAATACAGAAATATAGTAGAAGTATAAAGGAAGGATAATAAAAAATTAAAAAGAAAGAAAGAAAAGAGGAATACGAGAAGGCAAAAGCAAATGCCTGTGTGTGAGTTATTGCAACCCTATTTTTTGGTATATTCTTTATGTGTTATATAGCTGAATGATATTAAAGAATTATGGTATGATATTAGTTCTTTCTTTCCTATCAAGCTATTGCTCTTTATTAATCTTTATGTATTACTTACTGTGTTAATAAGTATAAAATTTTTAAATATATATTAGTTATTAATTTATTTATTACTTATTCAATTCTGTGTTGCAATAGATAAATTTTATGGTTTATATTAAGATCATTCATGAGACGATATATACTAGTATTTACTGAAGACTTCTTTCGACCGTTGGTTCATTCACAAATTTAACATTAAACATTGTATACTTATTTGATTTTGTGACTAATTTTGTCAATATAAAATATTTAGGGAATATAACGTTGGTTCGAAACTTTTTAAAAATTTTTAATTTGTTAAAGTAAGTGAATAAATTGATAAACAAACTGAAAAAGTAAATAAAATCATTGGAAAAAGATAGCAACATTCAAAATATAATAAGTTGTGATATTAATTAAGAAAGAAAAATAGTCAAAATTGAAAATCATATTACTGAGAAAATTTACATTTTTTATTTTTTGTGTAATTATAACATTTATATAATTTATATATAATTATAATTGTATCTTTATGAATATATATTTAATCTTTTAACTTGTTTGAATAATGTATAATATTATATATTTTAGAGTGAATCTTAATGCATTCAATTAATAAGTGATTATATAAATATTTAGTTAAACAAATTTTATAAATTTATATGAAAATAATTTAATGTAATGTGTTATAATATTGTATATAAAACCTGTACTATATATAATACTGTAGATGATTATTATAATTGAGATTATTGATGCGTAGTATAATTGAGCCAATACATTCCAGATAGTTTGATTATAACATTTATTTAATATATTGTAGTGTTGTATTTGATCATTCTCATGTAATTATTCTTGATTATATTATTTATTGTATCTTGAGTCTATTACAATAGTATTAGTTACTCAGAATTTGTAGATTTTTATTAGTATTTTTAATTTAACGTTTTTTAATTTCTGTTTAATTTTAATTAATCATAACTATATTATATTATAAATATTATAAGTAAATTCAATTAAGTTTTAGTTTCTACTTTACTTTATTAATTTATTTATAATTATATTTTTCTTCAAATTTATTTATAAAAATCTTTGGAATATTATTAGAATGTATACTTCATTAATACTTATAAGTTATAAATTATATTATTGTTACAGATAATGTGATGTTAAAATGCGGAACCGATCTATCAGTCTTGTATTTATAACTCTTATACTATGGGCCATTGTGACTTATTTTTTAATTTTTTATAAATCAAATAAGAATAAATCGAAGGTATGTAATATATACAATAAATTGTTATGATAATTTATTTGGTTAGTATAATATAGTATAGTATTGTATATACTATAGTTATATTTAATTTTATATACAAAATATTTACAATATTTTAATTATAACTAAATACTTTTTCGCAAATCAGAGGTTCTGTTTATAAGAATATGCAATGCGACAAATATAAAAAAAAGAAACTTTTATTTTCATATTAAATTTAAAATTGAGTTAATATTTGTTTCTACACCTTTAATAAATGGCTAATGATATTGATTTAAAAATATCGTTGATATATCCAAAATAATTATTTTATAAATTTAATTTAATTTAAACTAAAGCAATGTAGTTTAATTATTGTTTTCTCTAAATTTGTATTTTTTAAACATATAAAGTCCATTAATTTTTTGTATCCTATTTATGTCAATATTATTGCTATCAAACATTTAATACCATAAAAAATTCATTAATTTATATAAAAAGTAAAAAGAAATTTTTTTTATTATTTATAAATAAAAATACTTTATTAAATTACTAAACAATATACAGATAATTCACAATTAAGTACCAAACAAGCAAGTGGTTGAAAATCCTAAATATGATTTACCTGTATAGTATTTATTTATTTTTATATAATTATATTAAACTTATATAAATGTAAACAAGAATACAAATTATTTTTATTGTAATGAAAACTTCCATATTTTATAGATTTTAATCAAATTAATTTTTTATTAGTTAATTTCTATATAATTTAATAATAATTTAATAATCAAATTTAACACGAATAGGTCAAAATTCATTAAAATTGAAACTTGCATCTAATTTATACTGGTACATTAATAAAAAGAAAATACCTATAATTTACTTACGCTTAATCCTTTGGTTTTCATGATAAATAAATAAAAAAATATATAAGAAATTATAGTGGGAGCAATAAATATTTTATATTCTTTTATTTTTGTTGCCCTGTCTACATATTTTTTACAATTATGCTGATGGAGAAACAATTAAGTGAAAATTACCAATACATTAAATAGGATTTTTTAAATACATTTTGAATTATATGTATGATAAAATAAAAATAGTTATATTAATAAATACGATAGTTATTAAATATAATAGTGATTAACTTGCATTAGTATAATTATTAAAGAACGTGGTTTATATTTACATTAAGCTATTCTATTTAAATCTAATAGAAACTGCTATTAGAAGTTTATTAAAATAATTTTTCAATGTTATATTTACTTATAGGTACTTATCTTTTATAGGAACTTTAAAAATGAGATAGATAATCTTGAAAAAATAATAGTTTCACCTCATAAGAAATGTAATATATAACATTAATTATTAAATCAATGAAATTTTGTATTTCTTATTTTGTATATTTTTTTTATATTCTTACAGTATATATGATTGTATTTTAGTTAATAATTTTAATAAGGTTATAATTCACATGTAGGAGAAAAAAATAAAGTAGTTGAATAATAGTAAAATTGAGAAATAGAGAAACAATTATTAAAAAATAATTAGCATATTCTATTTTTTTAAATTTGGAATCTTATTTGTGTTCATTTTTAACAAATTTAGTTAGTGTTATCTAATATAAAAATAATGAAGAAGAATTGATATTATTGTGATAGTTCAATGATTTAAGGAGATAAAATTAAATAAAATTAAAAATAGGTAAGTATAACATGGTATAAATAATTCATTCATTTTTTTAAATATTTTACAGGTCATAACAATACTCTGCTTGAATGTATGTGCTAGGAGTCAAAATGATATTTAGAGATAAAATGGATAAGTTAGAATCCAGTAGAAAATATAGTAAAGCTTTGTTATCTATAATAGAAGTACAGTTATAATTAAATTTAGTATTGTCGAGAATGTTAAGAAATAAGATTAAATTCTAGCAAGACTGAAAAGCCCTGCAAAATTGGATGGATAGAACTGTTTATTTAAAGTGTAGTTAATTAGATTATTCAAGGATAATCTAAATTTTAAAACTTAATAATCTAACTATATTTTTTTAATATTGTATGCATTATTTGATTCTTTTTGGGTTCTTAAGTTCTTTTTTAAGACTTGCTTGGATTTGACTTGCTTTCGATCCAAAGTAATATGACTTGGATGTATGACTTGTTACATATAAATAATGTAATATAAAAAAAATGTCTCAAACCATAGAAGAAATATTAAATTTCCATATATATTTTCATTAAAACATCTATACATTAAGTATAAAATTTTATATAATATTTATATATTTACATTATTTATACAGTTAAACAAATTTTTTTTTCATATTTCTATTGATTCGTTGTATTTGTAAATAGGTATTATATACGGGTAGGCTCTTTACTAAATCTATTCCATGCATTGAAAGGTTGTTTTGCACAGACAGGCATCAAATGTTTCAAGAGAGCAATTATATTTGAACAAGATGTGCCATCTGTGACTTGCTGTGATTTATGTTAACGCATGTATTAATTTCATTTTTTTTATAGATTAATTTATTGTTTTTAACAAATCATAATATACTTATCTTCATTGACACATAATCGACACATATATATATTATTCCTAATTCCTTCAATATACAGATTACAAAATATAGTTCTTCTATTGTAATTTATTTACTTAATCTAATAACTAGACTAAAAAGTTTTTTAAATTATTTCAAATAATTGTGTACTAATATAGTAGAAAATTGTCAATTTTTTGCAAATTTAAAAAAAATTAATGTAATGTAAATTTTCTTTTGAATAAAGTTTATCAATTTCCGAATTAACCATGCTATAATTCATTACAGACTTTTAAAACATTTTTATGTATTTGGATGTATTTGCTGCTGACAGCTAGTTACTAAATGATTATGAGCTATTTTTGCTGACTATTCTTGAACTTATATTTTTTTTATATGTATTATATATATGACACAAATAAACTTTTTATAAAAAAATTATCGTTTTTTATAATGCAATTATTCTATACACAATGTATATTTTATATTGTTATACTTGAGAGAAATCTTATAACTAAAATAATGTTAAAAAATAGTATCAAATACTTTATGTAAAAAATGAGTAAGCTCAAAAACAAGTCAAGGGACTTTACTCATCAGAAAATCGAATTTAAGACTACGTATTTTTTGCAACAGACGTTTCTGAATTACAAGTTTTTATTTCTATATACTTTACTTTGAAAATCTAAAATATTCAAACAAATAAAATAATATAGCTAATTTTCGAATATTTGATCCATATTTTCAGAAAATCTACATTATAATAAATTATCATTTTTTAGATTAAATTAAATCTATATAGTAGTGTTTATAACATTTTATCTCAAGTATGTATAGTACCGAATGAAGTATTAATTGATTAATAAATATATTAAATACATTTACTAAATAACATCAATAAAAAAAATTTATTGAATCAATTGAGTTTAATTCAATTAAAAATTGATTATCATTAATTTTTTTTAGTACAAATTTGGATTGCAAATGAATAAATTAGAAAACGAAATAAATGAGCTCATCTCAATTAATGCACAACTTCTACAAGAATTTAATATACAACACATACAAAGCTGTAAGTATATTACTATTAAATTTTAAACATTTATGTTTCTTCACTAATAAAAAATGTAATGTACTAATTTAATATTAATTAGGATTTCTTGTTAATTTAGATGAAAATATGTTTTTCAATATACTTTAGTTGTATTCAAATGTTCAATATTATTAAATAGTTTATTATGAAAAAGAAGTTCTTTATCAATTATTTGATTAATTTAACCATTTCTATACATTATTAAAGAGGAATTTTTATTAAATTTTTAAAACCATTGTTAATTATTTGAAATCTTATCCAAACTGGCACATACTGTTTTAAACTTAAATCATGTGAGTTTTCAAAAGTTGAACAGACTTAATTGCTTTAATCTTTTTATTAACTATTTAACTTAATTCAACATCGAGGTCGCAAACCTTTTTATCAATATCCTCTCCAAAAAAATTATGCTGTTATCTCTAAGGTAATTTCATTTAATTTCATTATTAATTAATTTTCATACTAATACAAATAATTCGTTAATTACTATTAATAATTTAATATTCTTTTTGAATATAAAATTTAAAAAAATTTAAAATCATCCCTAATTAAATAATTAATTATATATCTTAACAATATATTAATTAATGGTATAATTTGACTTATTAAATTCTATAGGGTCTTATCATCCTTTAAATATATTTAATAATTTTTACCTAAAATAAAATTCAACTATCTATTAAATTGAGACAGATTTTATCTCGTCCAATTCTTCATACTCGATTCCAATAAAAAGCCAATAATTGATTTTGCTATCTTTGTACAATAAAAATAAAACATGTTTTTACTAAACAGGCGAATAAAATTTTTGTCTAATTCCTTAATTTAATATTTCTAAAATAATTAATATGATATACTAATTTCGAAAAACATTTCATTTCCAATTAATAATAATATTGCTATATTAAATTACATAATTAATTAAATCCATTAGTTTCGAAAAAAATTTTTATTTTTTAATTTTAATAAACCCTGCGACAAAATGTACATAATTTAATTATTTTTTTTATAATAATAAATAATGTTCATAATAAAAAAATTCAAGAACGTGTCGACATTGATGAAAAATTTAGTTTAATATCTAATAGTATTGGTTTTCATTATATATTATTTACATACATTCTGTTTTTATTCGTAACAATTATTATTTACTAATTTCTTATTCTTTAATATCAGAATAAGTTCATATATTGTGCTTGTGTCATTATTATTTTAATTAATTACATTGAAACAGTATATTATTTATTTATTTATTGTAGTTTTATGTCACAATTGGTCGGTTTTATTAATGTTTAATAAAAAGTTATGGAATACATTAAATTAATTTAAAATTATTATTTACAAGAAGTATATTTCTTTTGGTTAATATAGGTGAATTAGTTCACCTTTTGTCTTTGAAAATTTATGTGAATTCTTAATTTATTATTAATTTTTTGTTATTAGTTATTAACGTTTTTCGCCGAACCTGTAAATCATAAATTATATATTAAAGAGAATTAGATAAAATGAAATAACATATCAATGTAAAAGAATTTATAATTAATATATGTAGGCAGATTTGAATGGTTTCGCTATTTATTTATAATTGACAGACTAAGCAAATTTCTATTTTATGATCGGCTTGAATATGCCAAGGTAACGTAACATATAGATGATTATTTTAATATTTCGATTGCTTCAATAATATTTATAATGTATTAATTGCTTTTATTTTCATTATTAATACAAGAATATATTTATTTAAAGATAGATTTATAAAATATTATATTAATTGAACGTATTATGTAGTGTTATATATTATTATTATTTTTACTAATATTTTATTATATTAAATTAACTATTACCTTATCATTTATAATTCATTTTTAGTTTTGTTTAAACAAGATCATATTTATATTGATGTTAAATGTACTGAAATCAACTATTTAGATGTGTTTGATGAAACTAAAAAAAATTAATTTTAATTTTTAAAAATGATTTTTCATTATTAAATTTCATTACAAATTAATGGGGTGGCATTAACAGGTATTTAGTTTAATGGAAATTAAGGAAGATAATATTAATTTTATAAGAAGATAAATCGTATTTTATTTCCAAATTAAACAATATTTAATAAGATTTTATTAGTAAACTGCATATAATTATTTACTTTAATTAATAATTTTTTATATGAAATTATTTAAAATATTATTTTTCAGATAATAAGTATGAAAATGCAACATATAAAGTCAATTCACTTCATAATAAGAATTATTCATTAAAAACACGCGAATTTATGAAAGTTTATGATGAAAATAAAAGAAAATCTATAGTGCGGAGTGATTTTCACAATACAACAGACGTTTCGGTGTGTATTAATAAATTAATAAATTTATAAAAAAATTTTTTTACTAATGTCCTTAAAATAATTAACATAAATAGCAAGTAAAGATCAGTATTTATAATTAAAATTAATATGTTTGTAGATTTCGTAGATATTTGTAGTTAATAAATTTAATTTTGAGTTCTTTGTATTATTTTTGTTGAATATAAATTAGTATATTTTATATTATCAACACAGTAGGTAATAAATTCACTCTAAAGTAAATTAAATGTTCTTTTAATTTAAATATATGTTGGTATATTATTTATTGTGTATTCAATGTTTCTACATAAATAAAAATAATAATTTATTTTTGTTATCTTAATTGTTATAGCTGATTTATAAAATAAAAATGTTGTAAAATGATAATAAAGATATTATATTATTAAGTGTTTATTAAATTTTCTGAACTGATGAAAAAATTTGTTTTTTAACTGTTTTTATAAGATTTAAACTTAGTTATATATTTTCTTATTCAATTTCATAATATAACTAAAATAATATCAAATTAGTATAGCATATTAAAACTATTAAATAATTATTGTCAAAGAGTAAAAAGTGTACAGCTGGGATAAGCATAAGATTTTAGATAATTCCAACAAGCTAACCATTGTAATTGTTTAAATAAATCTTCTGCTTGTTGATGTAAAGATTATTTATGGTTAAAAAATGTTTAAATTAACAGTAAATGAAATATATGCTTATATATATTTGTTTAAGTTATTGTTATGTATTAGCATATGTTTGTTTTATCTTAATTTTAAATTACCATTTAGAACAAAATAATTCTGATTGTACAAATGGTATACACTACAATATTTCTCTTAAAGGAAAAACGAGAAAGTGTGTCGACCTTGATATTTGAATAAGTGATACGGAAAATTTTATAATATATCTCTAAAAGGAGTAAAATAACTCAGGTTATGTAACGAATATTCATAAAAAAGTATGTTGATGTGATTTATTCGCTAGATAAATTATCCATCATATTAAATATAGAAATTTTCAGAGTAATAAAAAAAGTAGCGTATTTGTGATATTTTTCAAGAAATTCTTTTATAAGAACCCGAAATGTTAACCTTAGAGTTTACATAAAAAGGATGTAGATTTTTGACACTTAGATAAATGGTGTACAAGTACTCTTAAATATTTACGTTTTCAATGGCAAGGATAATAGGTTATAACAGTTTCGAGTTACAATACCAGATAAGTCATAAAAGGAAAAGTTACCAAGAAAAAAATAAAGAACTTCAAAAAATGATATTTTACGTGTGATTAAGATAGTGTATATATTATATATATATATTATGATGCTGATCTATAGAATGGAATTTAAGAATGTGAAAAAAGAAGTAAAATTAAATTAAAAAATAAAGAATGAAAAATGATCGTGAAAGAACTAAAACAATATAAGGAAAGAAAGATATTGAAGAAAAAAGTACAAAATATTTCCTTATGAAACACAATATGAGATAAGTCAGTTTACTGACTTATTAATAATTAATATATTTATCGTTATATTATTAACATGACTATAATTGAAAAATATTAAATACAATTGTAATGAATAATACTAATGTATTAATTTATTTTTTCCTAATTAGTGCCTTGTTCTTTTGATGGCATCAACTTTCTATCAAATATCGCCGTTTTTGGAATTACAATTGATATATTTGTCTTACTTGAGTAGTATTTGAGTTAAAGTATATAGTGAATATATATATGAAGTGCAATAAGTCTACTTTGCGACCTAATGAAATATGTACGCGTAAGAAACATCCAACAACGGAAAATTTCTGTTAAAAATAGATGAGAAGTTAGGTCTTTAAGAAAAACGACTATTTATAATTCATACCAATTTTTAATTTAATTTTTGATAATATTTAAATAGTATCACCGCGGGAAATATAAAATCTTTTCTTGTTTATTAATTTTCATTTGATTTAAATAAAATAAGCGATATTTAATATTTATTATGTTGTAAACATTAATAACTGTCATTGTAAATATATCATTGCCAATATACTTTAGGATAATTAAATAATAAACAACAATTGATAGCAAAAATATCTTTTTTTTATTATCGTGACTAACTACGAAGATAAAAATTTGTATATTTTATATAAACTATATTATGTTACTAATTTTATAAAATAACTTAAAAGTTGTTCATTTAATATATATTTTTTAGAATAATATATTCAAGAAAACGCATAATAAATTATTCTCAAAGAAAAGTTTGACAAATGGATTACCTATTATTGCTATATTAGTTGTCGCTTGTAATAGAATTACAGTTCGTCGATGTCTTGATCAATTGATAAATTATAGGCCTAACGTAGAACGGTTTCCAATTATAGTTTCTCAAGATTGTGGTCATCAAGAAACAGCTAATATTTTAAAAAGTTATGGTAATAAAATAATTTACATACAGGTATGTATAAACTTTTACAAAAATTATTCAATTTTTGATTATATATTTTTTTACAATGAAATAGAAATTTTATAAAAATAGTAAAAACTAATTAAAATTTAGAAAATTATATTTGTATAAAGATTTGAGCTTATTTATTCTTGTTTTTTAAAATATATTTTGAGCTTATTTAGATAAAATTAAATGAATACCATTGAGTTTAATTAAATTTTAACAAAAACATTCCGTACTTTTGGCAACGCAAAATTAATTTATTACCACTTTTAAATTGGTAATAAACTATATTTTTTTGCTATTTAATAAATAAACTTTAAGGATTTTTTGGAATATCTTTTACAGTCTCAAACTAAACAGATATTAAGGTACCAATAACTTGGTTGTCATTTTGTTTTAAAATTTACAGTAATTAGACATCATTTTTATTGGTGAATTTGTTAATTTTTGTTGGCCAATTGATTAATTTTAAATAAAACTACAAATTTAAAATTTACATCACTTTATAATAATAGTATTATTAATTAATTATTCTTTCTGTAATATGATTTGTTAAAGGAGTATATTCTTTTTAGTGAACTTTAAAGTACACATACACACAATTAGAGTTTAGTAAATACCAATTAATTGAATAAGCAAAAAATTATTCATTGAAATAAATTCATTTTATGATTTGATTATAAATTGAAATTGAAGAAATGAATAATGAATTCAATTTATAATCAAATAATATAATTTTATTTAAATGAAACAATGTAGATGAAAGATTTTAAATTTAGTAAAATTTAGATTTATTAAATATATAAAGATAAAAAACAAATGTATTATAATTTATACACATATATTTTTGTTATATATATTATAATATTTATCGTCTTTTCGTAATAAAAGAAATAGATTTTTCCTCAGAAAATAATGAATCACTATTATTGTTGTTTGTTTGAATATATTGAAGAACAGCACATTAAAATGTCATTAAATAAAAAACTATTGGATATCAAAAAGTTTTTATTTCGACTAATTTCGGTGGTTTCCGTGTTCAATATATTTATTTTCATTTAACTTGCGTCTATATATGTAGTTTAACTTTTCACATGTTTTACATTCACATATTTTGTACTAATAGTTATAATAATAAATATAATAATAATTTTAATATTTTATGGATCAATTTCATACATTAAAAGATTTTTCTCTTATTACGGTTAGTAGTGTCATTACATTTTCAATATTCGTATCAACGACATATAAATACATAAAATTAATTATTATTTACATGTTTTCTTCTCTCCCCTACTATTATTGTCTATATTATATAATCGTTAAAAGCACAAAGTTCTTTCCTATATCTATAATGCAATTTATTACTATTTGTATAATTCATGATCGAAGATATTTTAATAACAGTTTTAATTAATATGGTCATTTTTTAATCGTGTTAATAATAATTTCTTAAAATAAATATTACTGTTTTTATTTTTAGTAATTGAAATAGGTAAATATTAATAATATGAATATGTTTTTAAAATAATCTAATATAAAATAATACTAGAGTAAATAATACTAATTTTTAATACCACTTGATTAGTAGATTTTGTATTTTATAAATTTACTGTTGTATACTTAAATAAAGAAGAATTTAATGCGTTGCGAGTTGTTTTCAATACTGAAGAACGATCAACATGATTTTATTAATATCGTCGGCAAAGAAAAAAATGTAGAAAAGATTTATTAATTTCTTGCAAAGGAGCAAATATCAATATATAAATATTGTCATGTCAGTTATACTTTTTACTAAATATAACAATAGTTATCAAAATTTTAATACTAATAATAAGAAACTATTTTGAATAGATATAACATGTTAGTTGAAATTTTGTTGGAAAAGACTACTAAAGAAGAGCATGGATAATATATTAAATATCTATAGTAATAGAATACAGTAATTTTTTCTGAGATCAGAATCATAAAGATATTTATTGAAACTTATGTACAAATGAAAATATAAAAATATTATTAGTTGCATTGAATAAATTTTTATATGACAACAATAATAATCAATCAACAATAATAATAATCTGAGAACAAAAAAATTTTATATTTTACGGGTGTTAAAATTTTACAAGGAAGGGTTTTTCATATTTAGTATTTATTAATCTATGTGTGAAATTTCAAATATTTATTTTATTGTAAAAGCTGTCTTAAATTGCTATCTTAATTAAAAGATTTGTATGGTGCATAATTTAAATTCTGTGTGTAAAAAATGAACATTTGTTCATGTAAATTGAAAATTGTATCTTTACTAATCTGTGTTATCAAATTAATTTTGATATAACTCATTAATTAGAATATTTTATATTTTTTATGCTACTTTTATTTTATATAATTTGATTTAATAATCATATAATAAAGAATATCTGTTTTTTTAATGTGTTATTATTACTTCGTGTTTTATTATTACAAGTATCTTTAATATTTTTATATGAAATTTAAACTAATATGATTTTCGAAAATGAAATAGATTAGTAATATAATAATTAAATAAACTAATATCTAATATAATAAATTAAAAATTTAATATAGTATCCTGTCTCACCCTATTCTCTTTAAAATTCGATACTTTTCGTTCACTAATTCAATATTCCCTTATATATATTATTGTATTTTCTCTAATATCTCAATTTTATTATCTTTTATTATCTATGTACATTTATGTTTATTATAATTATAAACATAAACAATAAATCTATACAATATGAAATAAATCATGGTATAGCTGCTACTAGGTATTCTATTTATAGCCAACAATTAACAAATTAAAAACATTAGAAAGACTAACTTTTGTATCTTTATTAGTTTTAAAGGCCTGATTTAATTTTTTTGCGAATTCAATAAGTAACCTTTAAAATTTTTTATTTTAAAATTAATAATAATAATTAAGAATTAATTATTAGTTAATGGACATTTAAAAAATATAAGGCTTATACAAATACATATATAATATTTATAATAAATTCTAAATTTTTAGCAACCAGATCAAAGCGATATTGACGTACCACCTATAGAAAAAAAATTTAAAGGATATTTTAAAATAGCAAGACATTATGGATGGGCATTAAATGAGATTTTTTTTAAATTTGCGTATGAAACAGCAATTGTAATTGAAGGTATATTGACTTATTGTTACTAAACTAATTTTTAATTATAATTTTTTTATTTTTAAATTGTACAATTAATTTCAAGTATTTAATTATATAGCTATGTACAATTAAATAAATCTATATATGATTAAATTAAAAAACATCATGATATTTTTCATTTCATAGAACTAGTAATACTTTTTTACTTTCAGTAATACTAGTAATTTCGGCGCATGAAAAATGCAAATATTAAAACTCGAAATGTAATTAAAATTTTATTAAATTGCTTCGTCATATACGATAGTCGTAATCGTCCCATTAGTTTGTTATACATTTCAAATAACGTTAAATGAATAAATAAATATATGTATTAATTATAACATTAACGAGGAAAAAGAGAATATGTAACGATTATTTATTAAATTATATGTTATATAATTTATACGACATCATTTGTTAAACAAATTTCCATTATTGTTATATGTTATGTACATTGTATATAAATATATAAATACAAATTAAAATGATTTATATTAAATTGCATTTTTAGATGATTTAGATATAGCTCCAGATTTTTTCGAATATTTCTTGGGTACACATTTCTTATTAACAGCAGATCCGTCATTATGGTGCATATCAGCATGGAATGATAATGGAAAATCTGATTTAGTTGATTTAAAAAGTCCACATTTATTATACAGAACTGATTTTTTTCCTGGCTTGGGATGGATGTTGACTAGAAATCTTTGGCAAGAATTATCTCCTAAATGGCCCAAATCGTATAAAATATAATTTAATAAATAAAATTTATTAACATTTTATTAAATCTAATTATGATATAATGTATATGCATTATATTGTTTTGTAGTTATTGGGATGACTGGATTCGAGAACCCGAACAAAGAAAAAATCGTTCATGTATAAGACCAGAACTATCACGTACTCGAACATTTGGAAAGTTTGGTGTTAGCAAGTAATTTTATTATTTATATAATATGTCTAGTTTGATATTAATATGTGTGCGTGCGTGTATACAATATATAAACGTTAAACACGTGGAATAAAAATAAATCAGAACGTAAAATTTTATTAAAGTATCTTTGAAGTTGAAAAGGGAGTGAGATTTTAAAATGAAAAGAATTACAAAAAAACCAAGGATATTTCTCTGAACATGTTTCGAAAATGTGATTAAAGAAATAAAAACTTGTTAATATAAAAAAATTATATAAAAGTACTAAAAAAGTTACAGACTAATCATAAAAATAAATTATATTTTCGTTGAAAATTGATTAATTAAATTATATAATTATACATTTTAGATTCGAGTTAAGTGGATTTAAATTTAGAATTTTTATATACTAATAATAAAACAAAATAAAAATATATTGTTACAATTTTGTTCTATTTTATACAATAGTGTGATATATATTAGAATTTTATTTAAATTAAACTAAAATTTTTATGTGTTATTCGAGTTTTCAATATGTGATACCTTCTTAAGAAAATTCATGATGTAACTTTGAAAATGAATTTAATATTAAAATTTCATTTCATCAACAATTAAAATGTTTTAACTAGTAAATATAATTATATGTTGATAAAGCTTAACTGTTATATTTTTTATAATTGTAATCATCAATATTTTCAATATAAATTCTAAGTTTTTCTTAGAAGTATTTTTAATATATGGATATCATAATATAAAATTTTTGATAATTATTTTTATAAATTATCAAATCCGCAAATCCATATATAAATCTTTAGAATAGAAGACACTCCATTGACTAAAACTCTTAAAGTAAACTATTTTAATAGAAAAATTAATTGAATTTATCCTAATTTCCAAATTAGAATCAGCTTTTTTGATAAAATATATTTGTATTTATTTTATTTGCCATGTCTTGATAAAAGAAACTATTGATCATAAAATATTTATTAATACAAACTATTTTCTATTGTAGCGGACTATTCTATGAAAAGCATTTACAATTTATTAAACTTAATCAGCAACTTGTGCCTTTCACTAAAATGAATTTAACGTATTTATTAAAAGTGAGTATTTATAAAAAATTCTTATTATTTATTTTTTGTTGACGCTTTGAATGTTATTTACAGGAATATTATGATCATGCTTTTGTTAATGAAGTATATAAATCAGAAGTAGTAGCACATACTGATTTAAAAGCAAATAAAATTACTCCTTTGGGATCAATTCGATTACCATATTATACTCGTCAAACTTATAAAACTGTTGCAAAAATATTTGGACTTATGGATGATTTCAAAGTTCGTATTTTTATGTTTAATTTATTGTTTAAATTTTTTAATTATTATTTACATCTTTATATTATAACCAATGTATTTATAGAAAAGAACTGAACCTAACAAATCGTTTTAAAAGAGAAACATTAATTAATATAATCAAGTGATATCCATTTTTAAAAATTATTTAAAAATAATTCTTTTCAAGTATAATAAAAAATGAAAATAATATATGTACTTATTATTATCAATAATATGTAAATGATTATATTATATTGCATAATTGACGTTATACAGCAATAGTGGATATTGTGAATTATTATAATTCTTATAGCCTATAATAAGCCAAGTCTTATATAATTTATTCCAAAAAAGAGAAATCGTAAACTTTGTTTATTAATAAAAGCGTAATTTTTTTTATTTTTCTTCGTTTTAGATTCCTTATCGTAACTATTATTATGTGCATTTAATTTATTTCATAAACTTTTCTCTACAGGGGCCAATCCTATTATTACAAATTATCTCTTAATTGTCTTTAATATGAAATAATATTCAGTTTTAATTTATAGAATATTGTTCAATAATAATGAATATTCTATTATTAAATATAACATTTTATATAGTATAAAAATTAATTATACATACTCAAGTGTTGCTCTAATTTGAACAATGAATATAAGAATAAAATATTTAAAATAGAATTTGTTTTAATTTACTAAATAATCATTCTGTTAAAAGGTCGAATTATATGAGTATACAAATGTTTAATTAATTACTTAATAAATGCAATTTAAATCCAATATCGTTTCATAACTCTTATATTCAAAATATTAAAAAATTATGATAAATATTATGGTAAATAATTTTTTTATATTTTTTGAGAAATAAAGTAAACTTTTGTAATTATTTTGTACTCTACAGTGTGATACTAGATTCTTAACATTTTGTTGAAAATGTATAAATTCTTTTACTATGGCAATTAAAATATTTTTTTTACTTTGAACAGAATTTAATCAATTAACTTCTTCATTTAAATATACAAAAATAAAAATGTATTGATATTAGGCAATTTTAATATATATTATCATTGGGAGATAATATTAATTAAAATATTCCTTTGTACACAGAAAATATTACTTATTTTACAGTAAATACCTAAATCAAAATATTTGTAACAATTCATTATTTATTATTTTTAATCAAATTTGTGATTAAATAAATATTCATTTGAATTTATTTTTTTTTAATATAATTTCACCTTATTCCATAGTAGTAAAATGTGTTGAAATATTTTAATTTAATTAAAACTATATTAAATTTAAGGTTTGAAGTGAGTACTCAGTTTATTTCATAATTGTTTGAGACACTGGGCGTTCGAATTGCGAGAATTTTCTTCCGGGGCTGTTGCTGCATAGCTTATTGCTTGATGTTCAGTTCAATTGCACAACAGCTGCTGTGGAGAAATGGTGAGTTTTTATTCTTTCATGTGTATGCGAGTATCTCAAGAATGTTGAACTATTTGTATCTGAGTTCCTTATTCATTAGACAATTGACAAGATGTGAACATGGGCGTTATTCCTTTTGTCATAATTGGCACTGAATCTAAAAAGTTTTCGAGAACATTGCCAGTCAGTTAACTGATAATGGATATTTATTTCGTAATTAGCTTACGCAGTCTTAATATATGTTCATTTTTAGAGCATCACAATGATTTTTGTATTTGTGATCATACTATTTGTTTCTGTTCATTATGATATCGCGACAACAAACGCATGCTCAACGATTAATAGTGGCAATAAATAAATATATCAATTTTGTTTTTTCAAACATAGTTTACTTATTCACTTAATAGTAATGGAAGTGAGCATATTTAAACAATATTTGCATTTGTATATTCTAAAAGAATTTATATTTGTTTAATAATCTGACGTAAAATCTTAGGCTTTAATACTAAAATATCTATACAAATAAATATGATCGAAAGTTGGAGTTTAAAAACTGGGGAATGTGAAATCATATGCAAAGTTGGATAAACATTTATAAACTATACTGCGTATAATCATACGGAGTACTGAAGAATGAATTATTCCACAAATCATTTGAATTTATATTCACTACGTAGGGTTGATAGGCTTGTTTAATGTCATATATTTTGATAAATATTTTATGGCATCTTTTTATAATATAATTTTAATCCCAAATGAGATGCTTTTATTACCGATTATCGAAATAATTATTTTGCAATATTTATTTTATTAAATTATATTTAAACTTTTAAATAAAGTATTTAGTTGAACAAACTTAAGGAATTTTTCATTAGATTGATTAATAAAATTAGTAATTTTATTATTTAACAATACGAAAATTATTTATATCAATTATGACACAGGCAATGATTATTATATTACTTTTTTACGCTAACATTTTATCTAATGACTAGTTAGAGTTTCAGAGTTTCAAAACTACATTGAATTAAATTATTGTGTACTCCATTTCTTTTGAATATAAAAAGTACTGTAGATAACTTTAATATATTTAAATAATTATATTTTTTGTTTATTTAGAATATTATTTATTCTAAATCCCATTTAGTTATTTTATGACATGCAATATCATCAATAGTGCTTCAATTATCTGATAAATTCTCAAAATTTAGTTACTGTGTGGCTAAAAGCTACAGTTTAACAAAAAGAAAATTAATTCTTTTGGGTGAAATTAATAGACATCATAATAGTCTCGAGTAGAGTCGAGGCTAATTGTTTTCAATTTTTAAATAATTATATAATAACTATCGTACTACCTTTATAAAGTGAGAGAGTAATAGTAGTGACAGCTAATCCAAAAAAACCAGAATACCACTACAAATTGTAAAATAAAAAAATCCTGATAGGTATGAAGTAGGAAACGGTCAAATACATAGAATATGCTACAACTGAACTGATATAATTAATTCTTGTAGACAACTGAGATATACATTTGTACAAAATGTATTCGCCGTTCCGGCTTGTTTTACTAAGGCCGGTACGAAGGATACAAATTGATCCCGTTGACAACTCAGAGATCACGGGTGTTGTGTGGTAGCGATGAAAGGTCACAAGTGTAAGGGATATTATAATAATACAATAGAATTATCACTTATGTATATGCTGTTTATTATGTTATTTCTTGATGAAAAGGTTGACTAGTATTACTATTATTAATTATGGAAATAATTCTTCTGGTGGATTAATGTACACTCATCTATGCAGCGTGATGGTTGAATTTGATTGCAAAATCGCGCGAAGTTTGATTCGTCGACACTCGCGCTGTTTGGATGAACACGTGCGTAGTTGAGGTTATGGTTGTAACCGAGCGCGACACATGTAGTGTTGTTACGTGATATGTATTCGTATCGTAGCAAGCGTATCTTGTCTTGATGTTTGCGCACTGCAATACACTCAGATGGAAGTAAGTTTGAAGGGGTTACCTTGTGAAGGATACTGCTACGCGTTGCGACTATTATGAGCGTTGAATGATGTGTTGCTTAAGTTCATAAGCGTCCGACTTTGAACAAAGGTGAGGGTTTGCCGACAAGACGCCCTTTAGCGGGCGCGAACATGGCGACGCATTTGGCGTCTTCGGACTCCGATAAGGGAATGTGAGTCCAGTCAATAGGACTTGTAACTATAGTTGTCTTGACCTACGTTAATAGAAGACTTCCACTTCTTAATTGAATAAGTAATGTATGGAGTGATGAATATTGAAAAATGCGCCCCTTAAATACATTTGCTGACCATAAACTTCACTTGAACCCCTTCCCTTATTTTTCGTCCAATCATAGACTCCTCCTTTACAGGCGCGGACAGTGCCTCTTGTGGCTTCATAGTTAATTAAGGGTCTAGTCGTCTCTTGGTCTTCATGGCAAGAAGAGCTCTCGTTATCGCTGACGCATCTGGCGACAGCATGACAATTTGATGACAGCGGAAGGGGGGGGGGGTCGCACATAATGCTTGAAGTAATTACGGAGCGGAGCGAATTCGTACATATGCCTAACTGAGTGGGTTTTTCCAGATGTTTTATGACACTATTGCTAGATGGTTGCCAGCATGAAAGTTTTGAAATCTAAACACAAATTTGACGTTATTTTGTCAGATGTTATATTGCATTGAAAAAAAGGTCTCGCAATCTCGAACAACATTCTATTAATAAAGTATTAGCTTTTATCAAACATTAGAAAACTTTATGCTCAATAAATAATGAAATAGTTTATTATAATATAATATTTGATCATTACAAATATTTTAATTTAATAAAGAAAAAACACTTTAAAAATTAAACAGAAACATAAATTATAAATTGGGTTTTATAATTGAAATAAGTGTATTTAACATAAACTAAGTTGGATTAAATAAAATATACTTTTTGTAAAAAATATGTTTATATTTTCCGATACTATTAGCTTATCATTTTAATATAAGTATATCCTATTTACTATTTAAAAAAAGTTAAATCATAATTTAATCGATACTATTAAATGTTAAAATTATACGTTTTATATCATTCTAGTATAAGCCATTTACAATAAGGTACTTATTTCTAAATATCTTCATGACATTTTTTCAGAGTGGTGTACCAAGAACAGGATATCGAGGAATAGTTACATTTTTTTATGGTGGCCGCAGAGCATATTTAACTCCAACTTCCAGCTGGTCTGGATATGATAAATCATGGAATTAAATATTTATTCGATAATTATAATTATTTGTATTTTTATTTATTATTTTTATAAAAAATAGTAAATATTTTTAAATAGATTTACAAAGCAAGTTAAAAACAGTGCACAGTTTAACTAAAACTTATATTAATTTTATTATATTTACATTAAATTTAATAAATTACTAAATTTATTCAAAAGAAATTAAAAGAAGTTATATAGGCAATCAGATAAATTGTAGAGTATCTTGGAAAATATATGGCATTAGATGGAATTAATAAAGCGATACTAATACAAGCGATGAATAATGTTTTATTCAAGTAAAACGAATATGTCAATAGTAATATTTTTATTCGTAAAATATCGGATCTATTCTAATAGAATAATTTAATTTTAAAATTCTTTTTATGAAATGAACAATTAATAAAATTTATAAAGCAAATTTTAATATCTGTATTAAAAACTCTTTACTCCTAAATACAGTACAAAATTAATTTATTAGTAATTAAAATTTTATTTTTTATATAAATTATAATTTTCTATAATTAAAAAAATTAATTTTATTACTAGATCTTTATATTTTATATAAATCTTGATTTATACAGACATGATTAAAATTATTAGAAAATTTGATTTTTGGCAAATTTTTAAAAATTAACTGTATTATAGTTTTATCAAGAAACGGAAAAAATATTAATTTTTATTTGTATACAATATTTCATTATAAAAAGGCAATAGATAGATAATAAACGGTAATGCCATCTTTATAGAAATAATTTATTGACAAAATTATTTATATAAAGTTTGCAAAATCACTTTTTTTTAATATTTTGTGTTTTTGTAATTGTGAAATAAATTGAATTATTTGGAAAAATTGTCTCATATTATTACGTCCTTCGTGTGTGGTATCTGACGCATATTTTATTAGTGTGTGAAAGTTTACAACTACAATAATATATATGTTATAACGAATACATAATGTTTGTTATCTATATATAACTCCATTATGTAGAACTTCATTTAAATAAAATAATTTGTACTAGAAAGTTAAAGTATGATTATTAAAGAAAGTATTGAACGTAATCTAATATTTATATATTCATTTATTCATTTTAAAATATCTGAATTGTAAGACTACATACTTCCATTTTAATAAAGTCTCCATATAAAAATAGTTTAAAATCTTAACTTATTGACAAATAATGATATAAATTAATTTATATCAAATTTTGTATGTAATGAAAAAGTGTTAATTGTTAAGTAAAAACTAAATCCTTTGACCATAATAAAGAAAAAACAGCCTTGTACACGCATCTGAGGATATAAAATATGAAATATGAAATATTTTACAATTAGATAAATAAATGCATTTTAATTATTAAGTCCTTATATTACTATATGATGTAAAATTAGATGTTTTATAGTTTTAGAGTATACAAGAATTTTAGAAAACATGTTTGTTCGAGATTGCGAGAACCTTTTCCTATGCCATAAAACATTTGGCAAGTCGGTAAAGTTCCTCAACTGAATCCAACATTAGTTTTCGCATATAGTATCAACTACTTTAAGCATCTAAGATTCGGAGTCCAAGAAGCCAGGTCATCGAGTATACATAAAGGATTGAGGTCATTTCACAGGTACACGTAAAATTATCATAATTAATTTTACTGTTTGTACTCAAGGAGAAGCACGTGCGCCATACGTACGTAGCACGTGTCGACAAGCCAATCTTCGCGCCATTTAGCGCTCATAGCAGAAACAACACGCGGCTCTATTCGAAGAAGTGGTAAGAATTTATAACTAATCACTTTCCAGGGAATAGCATCAGAGTACTACGCTAAGAGAAGCAACATACTACATCAAATTACCTGTGGTTAAAGTACGCGTACCACTGTAAACCTGATCTGCCCACCAAGAGGTCAACAATTAATAATAGTAAGAATGATCATCCCTGTATCGGAAAATTAATAGAATAAACAGCATAACAAACAGATGTATTGATATTGAATTAATTATATTGTCCCTTCCGCTTAACCGAACATCGCCACCACATAACATCTCGTCGTCTTTGAGCTGTCGGCATAAACAGTTTTGTATCCTTCGAACCGGTCTTAGTAAAACGAGCCGAATCAGCGGATACATTTTGTACAATATGAATATAATAAAATTATCAATCATTAACGTTTTATGTTGTATTCGGATGATCAGTATTCACAAAATATCCTAACAATAGGAGCTCATCCTAAGCAATAAGCGTAAGGCTATTTCATTAAAAGACATTTTGCTATTTTTCAGTCAAAAATAGAATTTGCCGACGTTATCTCTATCAATAAATTTAGCTAGTAAACTGGTGGTATTTAACAGCTATTGTTAAATTAGGAACTGTTAAATTAACTATTTAACAGCTCATCTTATAGTAACCTTACAGTAATTTATTTTTGTAAGAATGAAATATTTAATAGCTCTTATAACAACATACAGTATTTAAAATTTAAAAATTTAAAACCATAGAATTATTTTTCTTACTTAAAATATTTATTTACAATTAACACGATATTTAATACGGTTTCCTTTCAATTTAAATTTGTATCGAAATAAATTGAGACATGAATAAAGTTTCTTAAATTTTGAGCAGATTTGATGGCGCAACGAGGAAGAAATTAAAATTCGGAACCGTGTCAATCATTGAGAATTTGCATTATCTTATAATATCTTTATTAATAATATATTATTATTATAAATAATAATAATGTTTAATTAGTGATTATGTACATTTAAAGTTGGCAGGTATAATAAACGAATGTAATGTGAATGAAAGAAAAGTTGAAATCGAATAATTAATAAAGCAAAAAGTATGTGGATAATAAGTAAATTATTCGATAAACATAAATAAAAAAAAAATCATCTAAACACAAATTAGATATAACAATATGATTAGAAAATATTTATAAATTAAATATATTTTTTTATAAACATATTTTATTAATAATATATTTATTTAAATTTTATGATGAAATAAATAATTAAATAATATACAAGAAAATTAACAACTGCTAAACTAGCCATATTTGAGTAAGTAATTATTTTACGGATTTACAATAAATTGGTTTATTATTTTTATTTTATTTGGTAACGTTTACTTTATTGGACTACTATACTTTATTTATTTGACAACATTCATATCATTTATCAACTCCTGCGTTTTAATTCTATTTTTTCAATAACTACTTTTTAAGCATACATATTCAGGATCTTATAATACAATTAATAAAAAAATTATAAAATCGATTTGTAGCAGAATGGATAAGTATATAAATATATATATATATATATATGTGAATAAATCGAGGAATCGATAAATAGATTAATAATACATAAATAAGAAATGGAATAATATAAATATTAATACGTAAATAAATATATGAAATATTAAATAGATAAATGTATAACTAAATTAATCTGTAAGTATATGTGTCTAGAATTAGACTAAAAATTCTCAGATGTTTGTTAGGAGGATTGTGGTCAAGTGGAACGGTCAGCGCATTTGTTCAATAATTAATACATTTGTTTATTGTGCTGTTTATTGATCTTTACTTTACAGACTACACAATAAATATGCTTCTTAGATGGTGTTGAGAATCTGTGAGATCTTGCAGTTCGATGGTAGTTACCACATGGCTTTGGCATGCACTAAATGCAGAAGTAAGAGGTTGTAGATCTCTGGTACTTCTTCGTGTAATGCCACGTGATGGTAGCATATTTAATTAAATGCCCTTCGCAGCTGGTGCCGTTCGCACACTTTAGCCGGTGTTCCTTTGGATACTTCCAGCCGTTCGCGGGAGCTTTGCGATCCAATAATGTATTTATAGAAATTTATTTATCATACCGGATCTTGTGATGAACGCGCAGATATTATGTTTCTTATATCGTGGTCGTTATTGGAATGCAATTATCGTTCTTGACTACTTGAGTCATAGCGCACTTGAACAGTTATTAAATATAATGGCTTCACTGTATTGACTTACTAATTCATCGCTGCAGAGTCTGGCTGAATTATGTGCGTATAATGAGTAAAACTGACTGGCTGATATATGTCGGAGTTTAGTTGATCTGTAGAGTAATAACTAATAACTGCTTTGCAAGGTTCAAGAATTTTCAATCGACGTTGCTATGCGGAAATGTTATTAGGACACTTGAATATGAATGCGTAGTATATACAAGAATTCGCAGAATCAATGTTTACAAGCATAAACGTCAGAAGGCTTGCAATTTTAAAGTTTTAAAGTTTTACAATTTTTTTTTTCATTTTAAAGTTCTTGGAAATTGCCACAGAATAAATGTCGGTAAATCAAGAAAACCTAATGTGCGATTGGTCCCAAAATGAAGGAGAATGTGCGGGCCAATAGTTACTACAATTGACAGTGATTACGAATGATTTGGGTGATACACTTCCCGTCATTTTAATGAAATACCTCCATGATTCGGCGCAAATCCGGATGACCTAAATTTTTTGTGATATGGCTCTGTGTTGAGACAAAAATTGCGGCTAACTGAATGGCCCGATTGGTCCCAAAATGGAGGCGCATGTACGGGCCAATAGTTGTTACAATTGATCTTGATTACGAGCGATTGAGATTATAAACTTCCCGCTATTTGTGTGAAATAGCTCAGTGTTTCGACGGCAAATCCGGAAATCTAATAGCTCTATTAGTTCCAAAATAGAGGCGAATGTGCGGGAATATAGTTGCTATAACTGATGCTGATTACGAACGATTGGGTGATGAACATCCAGCCATTTTAATGAAATATCTCCGTCTCTCAACAGCAAATGCGGGCAACCTAATGTTCTGATTGATCCCTAAATGGAGGTATGAATAAATAAATGACAAAAACGGTTAATAAGTAAATTGATAAATGGATAAATCTTTAAACTAATGAATTGATGAATGCATAAACAGGTAGGTGATATACACCATTTTACAGATA